CATAAATTTGAAACGCTACAGAAAAATCTGAAAACTTCAGTATATAAGTTTTTTGACCCACTCTTTATAACTGTGAAAAAACTGTGCTGTTTGAACGTCTCTGAGAGAAGTTATGAATTTCGGAAAAAGTGACAAATTAATTAATTTTGGCGTTTTCTGAGTTAACTCGAAATTCAAAACTTCTCTCAGAGGCGATCAAACAGCACAGTCTTTTCACAGCTATAAAGAGTGGGTCAAAAAACTTATATACTGGACTTTTCAGAATTTTCTGTAGCGTTTTAAATTTATGGCGACCTAACTCAAAATGAGCAAAGCTTAGTTGGTCTTACTTTTTCATTTTTATCTCTGCAGTCAGTGTGTAATAGAAGTTAATCAAGAATGTGTTCGAAAGCGAAAAACTTATGCTTTCAAATACAATTACAACGATGCAAATCCATTGGGGTAGCGCAGAGTTACAAATTTTCAAAAACGAAACGACAGAACTTTCGGACCGACCTAATATATTAGATAGAACGATTTCTATGAAAATGTGAAGAATCTCACTTTACCATAACGATTCTTAGGCGTGAACATTACAGGGACGTCCTACGATAAAAGGCGAAATTCACATCCATCTGGGTAGGGGACTATATAACGCCGATAGGTTCCACCCCTTGCGGACTGCTGGTACGAATCCGTGATGTCTGTAACATGATGGCCGTCGCAGATGTCCGCGTGACCACCCCCTTTCGGCGACATATACCCCTCTACCCCATCCATATTATTCCATTATTCAATGCGTATATCCCTCAGGTTCCTTCAGCACAGTCCTCAAAGCTTTTACCTCTCCGTGGTACCATACCGTGGAGTTGCGGTAGGTGTACTGTATGAGCGCGGCCGCTTCCATTAGCTGAGACATAAAAACACATATCGCTAGTTGATTTGGCGCCAACTATAGATATACCATGGTTACATATGCTTTCGAGAAACTTCCTGGTAGTCATTACGAAAAGTTAGGACTGCTGAAGATATTATATACTCAAAATTTCGACCAGACAGATATACAAAAGATTACACACCTCCTGTCGGTTCTTCCCATGAAAGTTTCCCCCAAAAATTCTGGCACTTCCGCAGATATTCAGAGCTCGCTGCTCCTTCAGTATTCAATTTGCTCTTATCTCTTCTGAATCACCTTCTCCTGCAGCTAGAGATACTTCTATGCATTCAAACATTAATTAATCCTGAAGCCTCTGAATGCATCTCCACGTGACATGCTAGAATGTCAGAAAAAAGGACTATTTTGAATAAATATTCTAGCAGGAACAACCAGTCACCGAAGTGAAGTGTAATTAATTGAAGAACGTTGTCCTTTCAGTGCAAGGATGGCATTAGCATTTTATATTGGGTAGTTTCTTCCGGCATGTTGCATTTGTATTGTCTGAATGTACACATACTATTTATGCATCGGATACAGTACTCAAGCAATTTTCGATTTTTAATGTGGAAGCAGATTGACCTCCAACCTCAAAATAAGCCACTGCCGAGCTGCAGCTCACATCTGCATCCGTGACATTCAACTCCAGTCCAGACCGTGCTTTTTACGTCCCAGAAAACAATAATCTGCTAAAATTCAAAAGTGCGTCCCAAACAAAGATATAGTTTGTTACAACGGAGTTCATAGCAAATAGTGGTACCTTCCATGTGGAGAATTCAAAAATCATGGGAAACTTTTTAAATGAAAATGTAAATGTAAATAAATGTAAATGAACAATTTGATACATTTTTCACACTTTCTTTGCTATTACCACTGAAGAGGGAAAACATCATGCATCCACTCTGTGCTGGTGAGTTTTGGAGCTAACAGCTTTATCTGGTATTACAATTGCCTAAAAACCCTAAATTAGTCAGATTTTTGTTATACAGAATAAAAAGAATATGCGAGAGGTGAATTACTATGTTTACGGCCACTAAATCAAAGTGTTGAGAGGTTATGTGCGAGTAACTGCCACATTCATTGTTCTCCATAAAAAGTAATGGATTACCATGTCATCTGACTCGAGTGTAATGCAAGCCTAATGCTAATCTCTCGATTTTCTGATATTTCTCTGTCCACAAACGATTTTTGGACCTGATCAAAAAATAAATTTCGCAAACGAGCAAGTTTGGCTGAGAGCTCTGCAGTCAGCCTTAAATCTAATATTCGAAAGTCATTGAAAAACTTGTGTGCAAAGTGCAGATGGAAATGAAATGCTGAATCTGTTATTCGAACCACTTTGGAAATTGCGGGTTTTCATAAAGTTAGTGGGCCTTCATGGTCAAAAGGCTTGTATCCTCAGGCAACCTAGTACGACATCTCTCCGACTATTTTGATCGAATTTCCGGTAACCTTCGTCATTTGGACGTTTTCATGTATACTAATTTGATAGCAAAAACTGAGCAAAAAAGTTGCGCGACTTTTCGCTAAGCAAAGCTTACTTTACCTAATAAAAAATTTACATGTGTCATCAACAAGCCTTATGCGACGATAATTCGGCTACTGACAATTCAATTTTGAGTTTGCCGTTCGCCGCAGGCGAACTGAGTGGGAGGAGAAAGCTCTGCTTTGCTGTGCGCATGGAAATATGGCACAGTCTTCAGATTTCAGGCCAAAGACGGCTTATTCATATGATTTTGATTTCTAAACATGCTTAAATAGAGCTCCATAATAATTTGCCTCAAGAAACTCGGTATTCTTACTCATGATTTCTCCAACTTGGTAGTGCGTAGATTTTTTGAACGAATTTTTGATAACTACTTCTGAATTCTAACTTTGTATTCGGCGTTTAGCTTCCAAAAAAAATAAAGCCGTTTGTCGAGTTGTAGTCATTTTATGCAATATGTTACATCTGCCCTTTTACCAGAATGCGTATTTGTGAATTCATGAGAAGAAACACCTAAGATTTCACCAAGTTTTTTTTGGTGCCACGTAATTACCTTAAGATTCGCAATCAGAAAATTCATAAAACTGCAAGGTTTTGCAAATCCTGCACGTCGCCTCAACCTCTTTCAAGTTCTCACTAATCGTTTCTACGAAGTCTCTCGACATCTTCACCTTATTCGAGACCTACTTCATAGTTCAATTGCTGCGGGTGATTGCGCTCGTTTCGAGTTGTACTAGGTCTCCGTTAGTCCCGGGTCAATACTTGTCTTATTACTTATTCATTTTTCGTATTTACCAGTTACTCATTTTCGCGCAAAACTTCCCTAAAAATAAAATTGAATTGAGAAAAACTTTACGATGAATGAAAAACGCCCATTTATTGAATGTAGACTTCAAAATTCTCTTATATATCGATACTCATGCTCCCATTATTGCTGTTACAGTCAACACAGCAATCTTCTAGCAATTTTCTAGTCACTTTCTACATCCTGCATGCTTATTCCATCTATCACAGTACACTCAGAAATCTTTCAAAGTTTTAATGTAAAGCGCAAGAATTTGGACCCTAGGCTAGCGCATGACCACCCCCTATAAAAAGCAAGCAGCTTGAAAAATTGTCCTTTGCCTTTCGACTCCTCTAGAATTACGGAATTCTATCTCATGCCTGTGAATATTCCCTTTCTCATTCTTAACATCATCAGCTATTCGTTTAGAGTGCAGTCTAGTGCAGAGATTTTCTGAAGGAAGATTTTTTACTGGCTAAAATGTTGATCGAATTAACCCCTGAAAGTGCGCTACCTGATGACATTGAATTCCGCTACATTAGAGTACATTATCTTTCATCTCTCGATGTTTAACTACCATTACCTATTCTCATCTTGCTATTTTGATTACTTAAAAATTTTTTTGAGATCTTCAGCTACACACTTGAGCTACATAGTGGAAGGATGAATAACAAATCTAGCGGTTGCTTACCATTCGTGTTGAAATTCGTTGAGAAACAAGTACTCATATCATTCCTGATTTGATGCGCAGATAAACAATAGTTTGGGGATTTCCATATCCCTCATTGTTATCTATACTACTTCATAGAATAAACTAAAATACAAGAGCATGCTAAAAGTGAAGAAGTCCGAAAAGTCTTTTCAAACTTCCCCTTAGCCTTGACTGGAAGAAAAATATTTTCTGCGCAAGTAAAGGAGGTTTAGGAACAGTTTTGATGGTATACATATCCCTGGCCTCAAGTTGGATGGTTTGTTCTGCAGATTTTCTAAAAAAGGTCATCAAGGTCATCTGTGATAGTCGAGTCTTTGAATTATAATTTCTGTTATTTATTTTTCGTTGCATTAACCTCAAAACATGACACTGAATGTAAATCAAATCTTTTCAATGAAAGAAACGAAACGGAGTCAGATTATGGGAAGATGTTTACTGACATAGTTCTTTTTCCAAGAATATTTTTTTGTCAAATCATAAAGTAAAGTTTTTTGATTCAATACCATTGAAGAGAATTAGCTCCCAAAAGCTAGAATTTGGAAAATTCACAAAAAATGTTCTATCACTTGAACTTCTGCCCGCCTCATCCATTACATTTTCGCGGAAATTTTAGAGACAATTTTCCACCATAATCATTTCTCGAGTGTTTTCCTCCTCCCCCCCCCTTCTCCCAATTTCGCCCAGTCGTCTTCATCCCCTCATTTTGCTGTGGCGCTCGTTTTTCGCCACACTGCACATGTGCATTACCTCTACTCGGCCGTTCTCTTCCGCTACCTCTGACGAAGAGGGCGGGGCTAGAAGATCAATAGCTTTCCATGACAACCGGCTTCTCTAACCCTGTGATCTTATTGAGTTCGGATTATTTTTTGCATTTTGACCTACCTAGGGGTTAAACTCATTCTTAATACATAAAATAAGTTATTCCTAAAGTTTTTCTTACAATCTTTTATCAAAATTCTGAATTTACTAAAACTTCATTTCCATGCTCCTTCTTCCGTTTGTTTTTTTCCTTTCGTTTTGTCCAACCTTTTTTCAATGTATAAAAATTGCACGCTAATCGTCAATTTGTTCAATAAAGAGTCGTGCGCAGCCTAATTTCAGCCAGTATTTAGGTTTTTGAATGCGGACTTAGTGTAGAATGGGATCGGGCATATTCATATTTACGCTCGGTTTTCTACTACAAATCGCCAATTCGATCGTCTTTCAAGGTATGTCCTCACGGTTTCAATTTCTAGACTTCTTCTGGGTCTGCGTTTTACTTATTTTCACAATTTTCTGATTGCTTGCAACTCATTCGCATGACATTTTTTCTGAGAAAAATTTCTCTTTTCCGCGAACCCTTCAACAAGCATTGTTGAACGATTGTGAACACAGTTGTAAATGTTTTTTATTAGTTCCATTGCCAAACATTGCCCTACTTGCAAAAGAACATTGTTTTATGTTGTTGCACTTGATTGTCCCAATTCATATTAGATTTTCTTAATTGCACACTATTACCGTAATCGCATGATTGCAGCTAATCAACGCTATAAACCTCGTACCTTTTCAGGCCACATAATATTCTATTTGGAGAGTTTTGCAAGAAATTGGCTCATATGTTTAGGCTCGTTTGCAGAATTTTTCCCCTAAGTCGAAAAAAATCTCGGGTCTAACTTCGGACACCCATGCTCTTACCCTGGATTTTCGCCTTCTCATCTTACTTTTTCTTCTTTTTGAATATTTTGCCTATTTATATTCAAAACATCCACTTATTATATGGCACCTGTCAAGACTTTTTATAGAAGAGCAAAGCACTTGGCGACACATCCACATCTGTCTCAAGTGTCTCATTTCGTCTAGTTGTCAAAAGAAATGTCATTAGGAAAGTTCCAAAACGTATGCAATTGTCATTTACGAGATGAGAACGTGATGTGTTGCCAAATGGCATGCATAATGAGAAAGTTGGAAGATCTCCACAGACTTGCTACTATTCCATACATCAGGGAAAGGAGGGAAAAGGAGAGAGAAAAAGGGAAAAAGCCTAACAAATCATCAATATTCCATAAAAATTACTTTCCTCCGAGTAGTCCCTGTGCAACATTAAAAAAAGTTCAGATTTATGGTAGTAAGATCCGTATATTCATACCACGCCCTGAGTAAAGCCTCAACTAACCTTACTTATTCCGCATTCTGAGTAAACTATACTTCCTATGCTGCAAAAATTCCCACGGCTTAGTAGAAAGGATATTTCGGACGCACACTCGTATCCGTGGCAAGAAGTTTGCTGTCAAAGGTTCTTCTATATTTGGAAGCTAGGAAAGTGAAGAAGTTTGAGAACTTGAGGCATGAATATGGTACTATACTTCGTCTTCTCCCCCCCCCCCCCTTCCCCCACTACCCCTTCCCCCAAGAAAAAAAACATAACTTTCTTCTTTGCTAACTCTATTCGCATATAAGATTTTCCTGCAAGTCATTTTCTTCTTGCAATGAGAAAGCTGAGTTTGTTCTTACCGTATCTGCCCGAAGTATACTGTACTTAGTTAAGTTTTGTACCAGGTCGAGCAATTATACCTTTATGTATGGCTGATAAAAAAGAAGTAAAACAGCTTCTTATTTACATACAAAGAAGAGTACTGTTGAAGGAATATAAGCCATGGAATTCCTACGATTAACTCCAGTAAAATTTTGCCACAGCTTCTGTCTTTCTCTCGTGAGCACTTTCTGAAGGAATTATTTTACTTGTTTAATGCCATATTCTTGCACGTTTCATTTCTTGAAAATTTGTCGTTTATATTGTCCACTTATTTATTTATTTCCTTGTAAATTTAGCATTTTTTAAATGTATGCACGCCTAGAATACACTGGAACAAGTAGAGTTAGACCATCTTCATCTAAAAAACAAGGAGCTCTTATAATTGGCTTCCACTTCACTCAATGTTTTGCTTCCCTACTTTCCATTGCAACTCCTAGCTGCTAGTCTAGTTGCCACTAGACACTCTCTTTATGCATTTGTGTGTTTCTGTTCTGTACATACGGAAGACCATCCGGTTGTGTGTATATGGTGAGTGTGTGATTGTTGAAGGTCGATCACTGGAAGTAACGCGGTCCTAATGCGTCGCAGCCGGCAATTATGGAAATGCACTGCACAAACCTACACGCCACATACACAGACAGAAAATGACGATTCGCTGAAAACTTTTAGAGCGATGACAACGCGTTTTTTGCTAGTCGAGACTGATTGAATGGGGGGAAATGTGTTTAGCAGGGGGCACAACACTAGTTTTGAAGCGTGCACACATTCGAGCATAGTAAATAGCCGTTCACATTGGGGATAAATTTATGCATGAACGAACGCCCCCCGAGCGCGGCTTTGTGTTTTTAGCGCGGAAATTACATTTAGGAATCAGCGCTGCATTCAGCAGCTCAGCAGCTGGAGCGTGGTGATCTGTAGTGTTGGTAGTGCCGGTAAGGTTAATGGTAATGGTAGTGCTGATGTTGATGGTGTTGCTGGTAGTGCTGCTAGGGGTATTGGTAGTGCTGGTGTTGCGGTGTTGCTGCTAGGGGTATTGATCTTGCTGGTGTTGCTGGTAGTGCTGCTAGGGGTGTTGGTAGTGCTGGTGTTGCGGTGTTGCTGCTAGTGGTATTGGTATTGCTGATGTTGCTGGTGTTGCTGGTAGTGCTGCTAGGGGTATTGGTATTGCTGGTGTTGCTGATGTTGCTGGTAATGCTGGTAGTGCTAGTAGCGCTGGTGGTGCTGATGTTGCTAGTGTTGCTAGTAGTGCTGGTTGTACTAGGGCAGTTGATCTTTCGGACTACTAATAGAGAGTTAGTGCTAGGCTACGTAGTCGGCCTAAGTGGTCCTCATTAGGGAAGCGAAAAAGTGCTTCGCAATGCCAGCGGAGATGATTGTTTTGTTGATGGCTGAGCAATGCCCGAGGGTCTATAGTTAAGAATTGCCAAAAGTTGAGGCAAAAATTTCGAAAAGTTGGGACTTTTCAGTGAAGATTTGCCCAGATCTACGATGAGCTACCGTTACCTAAAACTAGATATTCTCAATCGATTTGGCGACTTTATGAGCTGTTATAACGGTAAATGCTGCCAGCTTTGTCCCCAGGCAACATGTCACTTTTGCTTTGCAGCAATACAAAGGCACTTATGGGGCTTCACCTCAAAACTCTCAACCAAAACTTATCTTCCCCTCAAATTTTGCCTAGAAAACAAATTCTAGCAGGTACATAGACCATTTTTTTAAACCTACCTATCTATACTATTCCATTGCTCATATTCACAATTACGCGAAAAAGGATAAAAGGATGTACTACATTTGTCATACAAATACCAATGCCCTTTAGCGTATTTTTTGGATTTGTGACAGCAGTCTTGACATCGAGAGATGTAGCCATTTTCCGGAACGCTGCACACACGGTGCCATAGCGCAATATTAAAGGTCCTTCAGACGAGATATGTTGCGACAAATGAGGGTCTCAGCCACAATATATCCAAGCCATATTGGCCAATTAATAAGGCTTTGCCGCGACTCTTGAAGGATGAGCTTAGCGCAGATTACGCCTCACTGAAGCTTGATATTCCACATGTGCATACATTTGAAGGGGAATGAGAATGCACGGCTTAGATGAGACATAGTGGGTTTGCAACGGATGTGAGGAGTGAGTAACAAAGTTCTGCAAAAAAATTTGTTTTGCATGAAAAAGAAAACTGACGAAACTCAAAAATTTTGCCATGAGTGGTGTGCCATTCCGACGTCTTCAGACGTAGCACATATTATCTCATTTGAGCTCTTTTTGCCGTGATTAGTGTCATCTATATATCATGACGATTGGCGACCATTTTTCCCAGAGCTTTCTTCAAGTTTGGGAATACTGTATATCAGAACAGCGGACGGCTACGAGAACACACTCGTTCTTGAATCTGCAACCATCATGAAGCTAATGCTAGCCTATAGTAACAAGCAAGAGGAGAGTAAAACGCAAAAATACGGTAGAGTTCATGAGCATAAATACAACAAAAAGTTAAACTTGCATCACATCCGGCTTTAAGTGCAATTTTTTGAAGCGATCATTACCTGTGGTTCCTCTTCGCTGCCTATGAAGTATTTTTTTGTTTTTTTGGTACTTCCAAATTCTCTAATGGAGCGATTGCGTGAGTAGGCAAGGGGGGAAGGGCAAAATTTTACAAGGATTCTACACGAGTCACAAGATTGGGCCAGTGACTTCTTTTCACTCGTGAACAACAAGAATATTTCTCAAATTTTTTTAGAAATGCAAATGAGCACTGCCGCTCCGCCCCCTTTCTTGAAAGCTTTTCGGTTGTAAGCTTTTCGAGAAACATCACAAAAAATATTGCGGACTGCGGTCTGTCCCTCCCCCCTCAAACAAAATTTCTCGGTCGCCATTGGTTGCTTTTCACAATTTCCCCAGACAAAATACTACTCTAATTTCACGCGTATAAGGCGCGGGGTAGGGGGGATTTTTTTTCCAAAATCGACCAGCACAGGCAAGCCAAAGGACTTTACAACCAAAGGACCCTACCCTTTAACGTGCTGTATATTGCTTGAGAGAATCGTGCGATGTAAGGATTTCTTTCCGGAATACAATTTCGATTTTTCAAGCGGCTGAGCGGCTCGCTTGAAAATTCGAAAAAGTGCGCCTTATACACGTGAAATTAGGGTAGTTTGATCGTGCAAAACCTTAGCATTTTTCTCACTGATCAGTAACTTGCTTCCGAAGTGCATCTCCTTTCTAACAATTTACTCTTATGTAACCGAATTTCCGACTCGATTGCCCACGCTATAACTTCCTCCGACTTTGAGCTCGTAACTCGGCGGAAATCTCATCCATTTAGCGCGTTTCCTATGTTCCCGAAACGCACATTCACAGACACACATCGAAATGTCGGCAAATTCAATTATCAGTTGTGTTTCGCCGTCTCTCGGAGGGCTGAAGAGAACTCTCGTCCGCATTGCTCCGCTACAGCCCATAGTGGGTCAATGTCACCACTCGTCTCGTTCACCTCCCGAGGGGACGGGTGCTGACTAGCCGCCCCATGAAATTGAACTATAACGGAATCCATTAGACCAGGGAACATTCCGATCAATCACTCTATAAGACCGGGAGGAAAAAAGGAGTAGGGGATGATTTATAGCAAGGTAGTGTCCTTTATAATTATGCAAAGCCATACATTCATCAGCGCTAACGTCCGTTGTTTTGCAGGGGAGCGCACGCGGGGTTTAACCTCGCCGGACGGAATTAGGTCCGTAGGCACTCAAATGCCCTCATAAAGATTCCGAGACTGATATCTACTACTATAATGAAATAATGATCCCTTCCACGCAAAGCGGAAGTTTGCCGAGCCCAGACGACCAAAATAGCCCCGCGGCTATAGATAGAAGAAACCTGCTGTTTCCACGTTGTGCCAAATCCAAACGATCCCATGAAATTGGAGCCAGGTTATGTTTACATCCACTCTACGACATCTCGTGAATGTACGGATGAAGCGCTAGAGATCGATACGGGACCAGCAGGTAGCCAATCTAGGGTTTCGTTGTGAAATGCTACCACGCAGGTTGTACACAACATACGGGCTCAGAGATTAGTGATGGCTCTGCTGTATGCTCGTTGAAGTATGAAAATGATGTTTTGCTCAAAACAGGGCTACTTCACTTCATTTTGATGGAGCCGGACCCCATGCAGCATTGCTGGTTTCCTGGAGCAATTTGAATTCAGTCATTGTGCACAGTACAAAAAATAGATGCGGAAAATATAAAGGGAGAAGAGGAGAAATTTCCAGTATTCTTCAGTCAAGTGGGCCTATAATGATAGACCTTTCTGCAAGATAAAAAGAAAATAATCTCGCACTTGACATGGCAATAATATGCCTTAAATTTTGAGGAATTTTTTTCGTATGAACAAGTGTTCGAATTAAGAACTGACAAACTATTGTTCTTTTATAGGCCCAGAAGAGTGGAAAAAATCTCATGACCGCTATGGCTTTTGTTTTTATTGCATTTTTTACTTTTTTCGTTAGGTCATTTAGGGATGTCTTTGTATATAATAATATTATTAAACTAGGATCAGTAGCTTCACACTTCACACAGTTTGGGCAAAGCCAGCCTTCTTAAAAATATCCAGAAATGCTATTCTCAAATTTCCATAGTTACTACATTTTCCTCTCACTTACCAATGCGGTTTATGAGTTGTTATTTTTCTCAATGGTTTTCGCCATCATCCAAAAACATATAGATGTTGATATTGATGCTAATCTATCAACCAAGGATTTGCTCAAAATAACATTTTTTCCTGAGCAGTGATCTTTTAGTTGCTTGCCTCCAAGATATAGAGCTAGTTTTAGAAGCTGAAAAAAATTCTGTTAGACAAAATCTACATATATCATATCAAACTCTCTCCAAATCAACAACCCCACCCCCCCCCTTCCATGCTTCTACTACTCCCGAGAGTGAATGTTGCATGGAACACGATTCTTACCCGAGCGTTCGATTCCCAACGGCATCGTCTACGATAAAGAATGAAGTGCTGATCGCCATTCTCGCAAGCGCATCGGCTCTGCTGTCGCTAGCCTATAATTTATTGCTTTGCAGAAACTGAAGGAAAGGCTCAAGCTTTTTCTTCCACTGAAATGCAATCCCATTCTTCAACTAAATGACGCCAGTAATTTGAGACGCCAGAGCTAGTGAAATATCGAAAACTTCTCGAAGGAAACGGGAATTTCTGTTGCTGGGAAACGACCATAATGCTTGGGAAATCTGATGCTTGGAATTCGAAAAACATCCTAGATAAGCACCAATTTTCTTAAACTGCATGTGAATTCATGAGGCATACTTTGCTTAAATTTGTGCAGAGCAATTTCTCCTCTCAAAAAGAGAAGAGACTTTTGCTTTGGCAGGGGCAGTGGAAAAGGTGAGGGAACGACTTTGAAAATTTTCACAGGTTGTGCAGTTTTCAGAAGACTCAGACAAGTTGTAAGGAAGAGGGGAAAGGCATTTTGCACATCTTTATGACTACATTCTTTGAAAAGATACATAACCTCATCTACCTTCTCTCCGTTACCTGAACTGGGGTAAAGAGAATACCATGAAGCCATAAAATAAAGCTGTGCATTTGAAGTTAGATTAACAACCTGTTCAATCTGCCTACTTTCTCTTTCAGTTAGAGTTTCTCCTAAAAAAATTGAAATTTTTGTTTGAGCCTCCTAGACATGCCGTTTTCGATATATTCAGCCGTTCGCGCATAATGATTGTTTCTAAGCCTAAAGAGAAGAAAGTTCGTATTCTAAAACAAAATGAAAATTACCGTAGAGTAAACCAGGCACAGTAATGACTGCCTATTCTATACTGCTATACTGACGATGCAAAATAATGTTATAAATGTGAAGCGAAACAATCTAATCTTCAAACCCAGTTGTTAACTTATGGTTTTTTATGTCACGTTTTGATTGGCCTCTTGGTACACTTCAAAGCAACTTTATACTTCACTTATCGCTTATGATCATCAAATCTAATAGATACGTATTCTGGATTCAAAGAATAACAGTAAATGGAAGTTCCTACCATCGAAAAACAAGTATCTTAATAGAGAGGTGAAACTCATTTAATTGATGCGATTTTTGAGTCTCGTTCGATTCATAAAATCTTGCAAGGCACTGTTGTTGTACTACTAAAATTATTAAAGGTAAGGAAAATGTGGCTGAATGGATCCGGTTTGTACTCTGAGCTTCCAAAATCTCATATGAATTGGTTAGGCTATTTGCTTATTATATATGACTTGTTTACTATAAATTATCTCTGGGAAAAGTTATCCGGTCTTTGGTGCTATTTCATCATCATAAAACCTCAATCTAAAATAAAGCATTGACGTGCTCCGCACCTCTTAAAAAGCAAAATTCTAACAATACCACCACCTACGCAAGCAAAGTATTTAGACCAGCCTTATATGAGATGTAGAAAAAATTTCATTAGGTTGTAACATAAGCTTTGACACTTTCTTCACTTTTCTCTAGGAAACTCTAGGAACTTTGTCAAAATCTAATATTTGGCAGAATGAGCAATGGGCAAAGGCGTATCAATTGACACTTTTTTATCTTCACAGATACGAGTTCCAGTAAATATAAAGGCAAATTTGTAGCAGCACTTCAGTCTCTACTTTTTCTTTTTCTCTGAAAAGCTTTCCATTCTTATTTTTAAGCTCTAAGATTTTTTATGGATCTTCTTAGCTCATCACTATGTACTAGAATGGAGGTAGTTTGGAAGTGTAGTCTCCTCAATAATGCAAGTTGAAAATTTGTCAAAATAATTCCAAAAATTCTAAAAATTCAAAAATTCAGTTTTTCATGTGTGAAATGTACACATCGAAAAACTGCAACTCTCCGCTCAGTCTGAAGATGAGGAAGAATTATAGGGTTATGAAGGTTTTTTCCTCCAAGTGTAACAAGACGTAACAAGACTTATGTTACCACCTAATATCTTGCGCAAACGTGCAACGGTCTCTAACTATTCATAGGCTTTCAAATTAACGCACACAGTTCACTCAATTTTTTTAATCCACTTTGCACCTGTGCCCTCTTTGCATGGCTGTTTTGCATCAGGCGTTCATCGTCGTTCGTCTTCCTGTCGTGATCCTATTAACTGGCTCGGCCGGATGTCGAGGCAGCGATTAATTGGCTGAGCATCCCCACTTGAACCGCCTAATGAGATATGGTCGGGTAGTCACCCAACCCGAACACAATTGCGCATAAATCTCGGGGAGGGCAATGTGGAGATTTGGCCAATTTTGAGGCCCAGCGGGGAAAGGATAGTTTATCTTAGACCTTGAAAAAGTAAATTTTTCTCATTTCAGGTTCGTGCTCAGACAACACATTATTATGTGAACAACTGTGTGTGACACTCTCGCCAGAAACATACGAATGCGGTTGTTGGAACGACCACGTGCTGCTTCCGAATGGCATAAGCTGTAAAGGTATGCGGCCGGCGCTTTTCACATTTGTCATTTTTCTTATGGAGAATATAGTCATTCGCGTCTGGAATGACGTTTTATGAGAGGACAAGTGACGGACAGCTGACGCATGCTTTCGCTCTTTTTCGGAGTCGCTGGAATAATTTTCAAAAAAAATTTGAGAAAGAGGTACAAGGGAATTTTTTGAAGGCATAAGACTATGTCTGAGAATAAGTTTTATGTCTTGGGCAAAAATGCGCTCCACAAAAGAATTTCAATTTTGGCTCAATTTCAACTAGTCCAAAGCCATAGTACGATGTACAAACTGCATCTCAACTCGTTGCGTGACTACGTCTCGTTTAACGGCTATGTGAAGCAAAATGTGCGCCCTAAAAAGAGGAGGACTGGCTTGGTGGACAGGGGAGTCCAGATCGTACAGCTTTCAGCTAGAAATAAGACAGAATTTGGTACCATTTAGGGGAGAAAAGTAACGCATATACTCTTCAAACATAAATGCTATAACTATGTCTCTGTTGTGGAAAAAAAGGTGTCGCAACTTTCTTCTTTTCGCGAGGATTCAAGAAAAAACTTTGCTTCGTTCGTATTTATAGTTTTAACCAGTTTAAACCTCATCTATGACTTCTGATTCATTGAGGTGACTCTAAAAGCGTATACACTACTCAGTCATAAATACTCTTCAATCTCCAGTTCACGGGTCGTGTATTGAATGGCGGTCTTCAGTTTATACGGTACAAAAAAATGGACCACATACTCATTGTATATGATTACGGTAGAAACTTCCAGCACATGGACGCTGCGACGAAGAGGTAGCTGCCATTTTAGGAAATCTCCATTAAAGGTTTCAGTTTTTATCGGAGTTTTTCGGACTAACTTTGAACCACACGAGGCTGTCCGAGGCTTAGTGAAGTCGTTGAGCAACGTCGTTATGGTACCTATGGTTATGGTAAAAGTAAAATCATCAGAAAGTAGTAATTTATAAGAGGCGGATAATTTCTGTACGCATTCATTTTTATTTGTTGAGAGTCTAAGAAACTTTCGAAAATTTTTATATCTGGGAAGTGTTGACGGGGTGCAAAGTCTACCTGCCGTCACTGTCGGATCCGCGGTCCATGCACAAAACACCCACTTTGTCGGTGAGAGTACGTTTTATGGGCGTTTTCCAGCGGGCTGGCACTGTTCCAGACATCGGGAGGAGACCGGACTATGTCGTATTCGGACATGTATGGTCCTTAGTTTTTAGCGAGTCCGCATCAGTATCATCAGCATCATCATACCGCTGTGTACGCCCTGCCGTGGCCTACATATGAAGCAATTTTGAAGATTCTAGGAACTTCTGGAACTTTTCGAAGTTTTACAATAAGAAGTGTAACAGAAATTATCCGCCAACCTAATGTATCAACGTAGATAGTATTATCAGCGACTAAAATCGTGTTTGCAGTTGACCCGCCGGCTTGCATACTTATGACAAGTTTCTGTTTCCAATGCTATGTAAATTCTTGCTAATCTTGTTGTATAGATCGATTTAAACAAGAAGTGCCAGAACTTCTCAGCTCTCATCTTCGAGAACAATGAGTTGCATAGCGTGGAGGCAGCTAAGTGGGAGAAAACACTTTAGAAAGGAAGTTACTGCTTTGTCCCAACAGTCGTACCCGACATTCTTCCCTTATTTGGCGAATGCACGGAAAAAATTGATGTGAATGCGCATTCTCTTTTGTTTTTCAGTTGATTACCCTCTCAATACTCAAGTCTTCCAAGCAACGAATATTAATCCACTATCTTCTCAAAATTATGTATGCAGAAAACATTCATAACCAGCTTGTTCAACCTACGAGCGCTTAAAAAAACTTATTTTAAACTTTGGCTTGAAATTTTCGTAGCTGTTTCACGGCTTCGACATAAAAGATGCAGTCCGCTGCTTTATTCGTTCACTATCAAGAGGTTCCAACACCATGAAACTGAGCTGAGCTTCAGCTTATTTGCAGAATCAAAAAAAATCATTGCACATCATCTGAAAATGCAGGAGCTTGAAGGATATCGCTGCAGCATAATAACTATTTCCTGGCCATAATAACTATTTTAGAATTGAAGACTGAGTCTAGTCTTTTTTGCCTTTCGTTGTGGGAAGACTCTAAAACATTGCAGTGAATTGGAGTTCGCATTGAGAGACCTTTCAAAACCACAGTTTCATTATTTTTGTTGTGACAAAAAAGAATTTATACGGGATGATGTTATCTTTCAATGTTGAATGATGCTATATAGAAAGCAGTAAAGAAATTAGGAAAAGGAAGTCAACGCCTCCGCTATCTGTAAATAGAATACGAAGCATACTATACAGTAGTCTCAACTTTCAAGCTTAACTCATTTTTGCACCAAATGTGTTGCAAATTTTTTTCGGAGGATAAAGGTCTGGGACGCCGGCCTGACAATGACAATGAGAAACATTTTTTGATAGACGTTCCGAAAATCTCGCTTCTTTCTCCCTTAATTTTTTTAGCATTGCAATCATTTACACAATATAGGTTACTACATAAATCTGTGACTCGTGTATGCAACTTTAGAAACTTGCACCCTTCCCCATAATCCCTTAAACATAAGTGAAATCTTTCACAGCAGGCAACCAAAACTTCAGGATGTTTGGCTATTACGGCCAATATCAAAAACATTAGATACTGACAAGGGAACCGTGTCGAGTCGACGTGGCCTTTCTAGATGAGACCCATACTGCTTTGAAGAGTATTAAGCGGTGATTCCAAATCTGCTTTCCAAATCTGCCAAGCGCCTCTGGACGCCGAGTTATGACCGTTCTTCGGAACGAAAAAAGAATGCAGAATTTAGGTAAAATTGATAGTTACAATCTTTCCAGCGCTCAGATAAAGCAATGTTAAGTATTAGCACATTAAATAAAATGTATCCATCGCATAAATAGCTCTGATAGTTGACACTGGACCATTTGAGCAAATTTGGGCGATTTTGCTTCAGTTTTGTGTTTAATTTTTTGACCTGAAAAACGAGCATAACTCGGCATCCAGAGGCGCTTGGCAGATTTGGAAAGCAGATTTGGAATCACCGAATAATGCTCTTCAAAGCAGTATGGGTCTCATCTGGAAAGGCCACTTCGACTCGACACGGTTCCCTTGTGAGCAAACAAGCATTGATCTAAGTCGACATCGTCACTGTCATCTGCATAAGTGACTCGAAATGTCACAGTTATCCGGCATTAACAAAGATGGAGAGCTATTAGGTTGCTGGAAAATGAAGTCGCATCATACCCTATCGCGGCGGTGAACACCTAAAAAGTGATTAGATTACTATTTGATAGCAAAACAAGCTTTACAAGATGGAGTGCAAACATTCGCGGAATAATTCCACCAGTGCTTGACAATGGCAAATTTTGAATACTCGATAAAACGAATCTACGTCCATAGAATTCCTACGGGCCCTCAATTTGCTCAGATGGTATTCTCCACATAAAAGTTTATGTGTACAATTGGTGATCAATAGCTATAATTCGAAAAACAAAAACAGATAAAAAAAACGAATATGTCGCGTTTTTCGGTTTTTCTGTGCTGTATTTTAAAATTCTCGAAATTTAGAGCTTGTAGAAAGCTGAGAATTCCCCGTCGTACTTGCAAGGGTTTACACAATGGGATCACCTATCTGGGTGGGGCTCAGGATTGCTTTGGAAAAAACATGCCAAATTTTGTTTTCTCACTTTCTAGCCATGGAAAAATCAGGAAACTATGCATTTATTTTTTATTTATTTATTCATACGCACTTCGGCGTGCTATCAATCCAAAAACTGCTAACACGAAGATACTAAGGAGAGCCGCAATGAAAATGAAGAAGTAAACACAAAACAAACAAACAAAAAAAACCACCGAATATTTTTTCTGACCAGCACATAAAGCTACAACATATGGGTGGGACCAGAGATAAGCTGAAGGGACATACTACCGAGTAGTGTGATTTTTAGACTAAAAATTTCGTATATCCACTTACCCTCACCAGCCAACAGACATGAAAGTGGGCAAACAGTGGGGGCGGGAGCAGAAGCTCGGCAAACGGATACGCCGGCAGCCCCCGCCGACATACCCAGACGGGTACACTGGTAGGGGGCCACCAGCATACCCGCTCACCAAACCTCCGCATCACCCCCACCATCCGGCCACCACCATCCCGGTGGGCAGGAAAGGGAAAGCAGCCCTACGAAGAATAACTAAAGAGTGCCTACACTAACTCATGTATGCCGCCTAGAGCTTACTAGTCCACACGCAAGAACACACATATAGTAGCCGGGTCTCGACTAAACAAGGTGGTCACGCAGACTTAGCAGGTCTAGTACGGCCTGAGCAGAAGCAGAAAGACATAATAAAGACAATCCAAACGGAAAAAAAACAGAGCTAAAAATAACATTGAAGGAATCGGAAAGGAAGGAAGTAAAATGTAGTTGGATGGGTGTAGACATCATCATTTAACGTCGCGTAGCTGAAGTAACTCAAGAACGTCGATCTTGGACAGGGCTTTTTTGAAAGTGGCAGAATTTTTCTGAAGTAGAAGTGCAGGGGGCAAACACTCAATCCATTTAGCTGTTCTGAAAGCAAATGTGCTTAATCTGCGTTGACGACATGAGGTGGGCAGCTTAGGGTAGCGAAAAGCAATGAGAGAGCGCCTTCCATAAACGGGACGAAATGACCAAAAATTAGAAGGCTTCAGGCGAAGTTCGCCTTTGAGTATTTTGAATGCCAAAATCAAATCCATTTGAACTCTTCTATAGTACAAACTTTTCAAGTTGAGCTTTTGCAGACGGGTGCTATACGAAGGGAGGCTTTGCGGATAACTTTCATCCGGAAAGGCACGATAGTATAGCACTCTGGTAAACGTCCTTTGTATGCTTTCAATTTTCTCTATATCTTTAGAGAGATAAGGACACCAAATAGAACTACAATACTCAACCAAGGGTAAAATGAACATTTTATAAAGCTTGATCCAAAGAGACACATCATTACTGTATATATTTCTGAATAGACAGTGCATTACCCTCAAGCTTTTCCTTACAATGGAATCGATATGATTGCTGAAGCTCAGACCTTTTGATATTAGAACGCCGAGGTCACGTACTTCATCAACAACACTCATGGTACCGACGTGGTTATCAATTTTCAAGCAGTCCTTTCCGATAGGAAAAAGATGACTTTTATGAAAGTTCACCGTCAGATGCCATCGTCGCGTCCATTCAAACATGCGCTGAACAGCTTCGTTAAGCGCAGCTTGAACTTCAGTTTTATCATCTTCACTATAAATAGCTGTGACCTTGATGTCATCAGCATACGCATGGACAAAGATTCTTGTATCAGTTTTCAAAAAGGAGGGAAGGTCATAAGTATATAAGAGAAAGAGTATAGGAGAGAGGATGCCTCCCTGGGGTACCCCAGAAGGACATTCCCTCGGAAAGGAGAAGTCTTGAGAGAAACGCACTATCATTTTTCTGCCACTTAGGTAAGAGCGAAACCATTCAAGCAAGCCACCACGTATACCTATACTGTGAAGTTTGGCTAAAAGGCTTCCATGGCAGACCTTATCAAAGGCTTTGCTGAGATCAAAGTAAACTACATCAACTTCTTTACCTTGACTCAAAGCCTTATTCCAAAGGTGAGTGCTATCTATCAGTTGCGTACAAGTAGACGAGCCTGATAGAAAGCCATATTGTTCATTGGGAATGAGTTTGATAGTATCAATCCACTCAAGCAAATTCTTTTTGATGAACTTTTCTAATACCTTCAGTGGCGCTGGCAGTATGCTAATCGGGCGATGATTCGAAATAAGATTAGAGTTTTCCTTCTTGGGGATCGGCGTAACCACTGCCGCTTTCCAAGCCAGGGGAATCTCACCCGTCATTAGCGAAATATTAAAGATATGTGTCAAAGGTAGGGAAAGCTGTGCTGCAAACATTTTGAAAAACATTTGCGGCACCCCGTCAGACGTAATAGATTGCGATGGCTTGAGCGTTTTAAGATATTTGAAAACAACTTCTGATGTAATGATAGGCAACTCAAAACTCTGCGTTGTAAATTCACTCAAATTAACAAATGGTTCATTTTGTTTTGTGAATGTACTCTCAAAAAAATTTGCAAAAGCCTCAGCTTTCTCAAAACCTGTGCTGTATTTTGACCCATCGTCGCCAAAAAGCACCGGCAAGGCAGGTGAACACTTCGTTCTATATCTGATATAGGAAATTATATGTTTCATGTACTTGCTGCTAATCTTCTTATCCTATAAGCCATGTATCTTTTTAGGTGATGGTCTAATTTTTTGCTTATATCTTTGTAGTGGGCACAGTTCAAGGGATCAGGCGTACTGTAAAACACTCTTTGTCTCTGTTCAAAAAGATTCAAGATATGCACAGGGTACTTGAAAGTGGCATTATGCTTTTGGGTTTTCATCGGGACATATCTCTTCATGATGTAATGCACAATACAGAGAAATCGATTGTAGACGTCATTGACGTCTCTGAAGTTTCTGAATACTTCATACCAATTGATGGCAGAAAGTGAACTCTCAATTTTGCTCACATCGGCACTCTTAAAATCAAAACATGGCAGGAATGGACATTCAAGAGTAGGCATCGAGATAGAGAAGCCCACAATGTTATGATCGGACGAACTCATTGGTGGGAGAATGGTAAAATTGGTCAAGAAATCAGCATTTGTTAAAACTACGTCCAATATGTGCCCTCCCCGCGTTGGAAGATCAACGCATTGCGTTAAACATAAGGCATCAAAAGCGGAAAGGAATTTATACCCTGTGGCATTGGAGGCACTTTTATTTGCCCAATCAATCGAAAGATTCAAATCACCCGCCAATACAGACCTGACTCTGCAAGAAGAAACAAGATCAGAAATCAGAGAGAGAAGAAGGTCATCCTGCCTAGCACTGCTTTGCGGCGGTCGATAGACCAAAATAAATCGATAAGTCTCACCTTGAACAAGAGGATTCAAAAGAAAATCGAAACAAATAATGTCTGCACTCAAATCTTTCATTGAAAAGCTAACCTCCTCAAAAAGTACTGTATCATGTATCATAGCGCAAACACCTCCACCCTTTCTGCCCTTGCGATCTTTTCTAAGCAGCACATACGGAGTATTTCCACGTAACTCTCCATCACTAATGTTTGAATTCAGCCAAGTCCCAGTAATGAGCAGAAGTGCTGGCTTAGAGGTGGACAAGAAGTGGTGGAGGTGAGGTATCTTATTCTTTATACTACGAGCATTGAAAAGGTAACAATTTTTCAAAATCAGTTTTTTGACAAATTTTTGTTGTAGATGTCAGAGGCCCTAATGACCTCCCCTTTATAGACAACATATACTCGCTTACCTTCCTTTTGATTTAGTTCTCTAGCATTATTGCGTAATTCTCTATCACGTTGTCTTTCTTCAGGTGTCATCGATCTTCTCACGTACACGTTCTTGTACACCGAATTGTTTTTTAGCCGACGACACTTAGAAAGCATATCTAAGCAGAAAAATTTGTTTGGAAACACACATTTAACAAGCCTGGGTTTTCCCTCCCTAACCCTCCCCATACGAAATATTTGCGTAGGTCGCGACTCTACATCCAGAGTGTTAAGCATACCGAGGACGAAGTTCTCGGTATGCTCCTGACGCGATAGCGCCGGCAACTCGGGGTTGCCTTCCGGCACCCCATAAATGACGACCGATCTATCACGTTTTTCTGCATCAACTAAACTACCCGATAAAGAAGATAACTTACTGACGAATTCTTCCAGTAAAGGAATGACTTCCGGGGCCTTTGCGCTAACAATGGAATGAATATGCTCTAGTAGTTGAGCTGTTTGGTCGTCCATCATCGGAAGGGCTTTGGTGACGAGGGGAGACGAAGGCTTCCTCTTTTTAGGAAGTTGCGGCAAGGGAGTGGACATGGGAGTAGTGGACATGGCGGATCAATCAAAAAACGCACCGCTCGGCGTGACCGCAGGAGGGGTGAATGACCGCAGGAGGGGTGAATGACCGCAGGAGGGGTGAATGACCGCAGGAGGGGTGAATGACCGCAGGAGGGGTGAATACGAGTGTCGCAGACGGAGAGCTTATGCGTGAATAAAATTTGCGATTTTCTTCGATTCAGGCCTTTGCTGTTGAATTCGGTTTCAGACTTCACGTAAACCTTGGTGCGAATATTTGAGAGGAATTATACCCCGTCCACTTATTTTGGGCTCAATTTGGCGCAATGTTGCTTGGTAGCAGATGTCGACAGTATTTCCCGAATAACCTAAAATTGCTCCCAAGATTTGGCAAGCTTGCCTTGATCATTACTTCTAATGCTGAACCTTGATAGTGCAAACTTTAGCTAACGAGGGAATGGTCAGAAATCGACGTGGCCAATTTGGGCAAGGCATACCTTTAGATGCAGCATAAAACGCTAATTTCGAATCTATACTCCTTATCTGCAGAGCGATAATGTGGGCGAAGATATGAGCCGTTAAAGCCATTATTTTGCTAAGAAATCGTACATGTAAAGGGCAAACTTGGCCGTACAGAGCCATTCTCGGCTCAGCGTTAGATCTAAACATGCAACTAGTCACTTCATATAGCCTGTACTAGAGGTGAGCTAAAAGGGCAATAATGTGCATAATTTGCCAATTTTTGTGCACGATTTTTTCGCACTCTGTGCTGCATCGAATGGTATGCAGCTTTTCTGGATTGGCCACTTCGACTATTTCTTCTGACTATTTCCTTGTTAGATAAAAACTTATATCGATCACTTTGAAGCAGCTCAAAAGGTTCATGACTCAAAAACCTCACGAAGTTGTTAACTGTGCAAAACTTGTCAGCGCGGATAAGTGTTCGGATAAAACGCATGGGATTGAAGTGAGACTTCCGTGAAATTTATATGACCTCAGTCCGACTTGAAGACCTTTTGTGTAAAAATCACATGATCAGGAGCGCACCGCAGGGCGCTTAGCTGCTGTTTGAAAATATTTTCTTTGAACAACACGACAACACTGTAGGGCAGTGTTATTGCCGGTATAAATCGGTTAGTAGATGAAACAAGAGAAAAGCATTTAGCACTTTGGTCCTAAGACATATAAGGTGCTCCAAAAACTGCGCTATCAAAAAAGCTTCGAAAACTTATAATAATTCGTAGTGAGGGTGAGGCGCGAAAATCATGCTATGCGACTTTCCAATTTTTTTAAAATTTTTTCACGAACCGCCTCGTTCCAATATTTCAAGAGCGCGAAAGACTTTATGGCAAGAAATATATTAACAATTGAACAGCGTGCACATTTTGGGGCAGCCTGTATATTAGTGGCATCGAGGTGGGGGGGGGGAATGGGTTGCGATATTGTTGAAACTGCTTACATGTATAAAAATGTACTAGTAACTTGCTCATATAAATGATTACAATAATTTTCAACTTTTGAGCTTTAAAGCCTTAGGAAAAAATTTTTAGGAGTGAAATGTATCGTACAAGGCTCATAATATCAAAAATCTCATTCATCCTTTTTGACGATAAATTTTTCAGTTATCACAACAGCCGCAGAAACGACTATCACGACTACGGAGCCAAATTCGGCGACAACTCGTCTGAAACGTGACCGGACCATTTGGCCAAAAGAGAAAGACACGGCTCCTTTGTCATTTAGCGGGCACAACTTTGCCGAGTTCCCTGTCCCGGCTACTTCGTATCTAGAGACAAACGTCACTCTCGAGTTTCGGTGAGTTTTTCGCTTAGTCAGAGGCTATCTACTGTCAAGAGAGACAATTAGCTCTGAAATTTTATATCAGTCCGAATGGAAATTATGTTTTTCAAATAATACGGTGCCCTTTAGCTATCAAACATCGATGAGCAGACAACAAGATGACTTGCCTCATTGTCAGAAACGAAGTTCTAATAAGCATGAATCACAGTTGTTGCATTTTGCGCAATTAGAAAGCATTTCCGATCTTTTTTTTATTTTGAGATAGCCAGAGCTCAAACAGCAAACCAGTAAACTTCCTGAAGTTTTTGAATATTCTAGTAATAGCATTTCTCAGTACCTCAGAGAGTTTGAATTCCAAATTCTAATGAATATACTTTTGGGATAGCGGGCAGAGCCAGGCACAGCAAGGTTATGCCAACCATAATTTTTTTTGAGAATTTTCCAGGATATTTCTGGCTTTGCAAGAAAGTTTGAGCCACTGCAAATTAGTGTTTTTTTACTCATTGTGCTTACTTTTTCTCCTCTTTTTTGATGGAATGAGGCTTACAGGATCAAAATATTCTAAGTGCCCATAAGCTGATTTTTTTCAAGATCGAATTGCATTATGGTTTGATATCTAGTAAACAAAGAAGAAAAACAAAATTGATGTGACTGATCACACATTGGCGAAGCAACATGTGCCATTAGAAGAATTGAAAACTTGAGGAACATTTTCTTTCTCTTGTAAAAAGTAGCCCATGCTCCACGAACCTCAACGTTTGATTGGGAAAAAAGCATCCGCCATGCAAATTCTGCGCGGTGACCGAATTATTTTCTCTCCTTAAATTCTCAGCTCAAAAAATTTACCTTTAGACACCAACTTCATTCGTATCCCTTCACAATTTCTGTATATCTTTTCACACTCAAATGTGATGCTCTAATGAGCTTTCAGGCTTTAACTTTTGTCTCCCATTGTTTTTTTTCTGAATTAGCCGGTCAGGTCATTAGCACGTCTATAACAAACGCACCGGTAAAAACTTCGCATATAAATCCTAACTAATATTCCATGAAAACTCTGATTGCTGAAGCCTAAGAAAGCAAAGTTAGAGCGTTCCTTTTAGATGAAAGTGAGTCACTAGATGTGGAGAGTATTTTTTACCTCAAATTAGCTAGAGTGCATGAATGTAGCTGAAAAATTATCAGATCTGATAGCGCGAAACCATACATGATTTTGTATTAAAAATGTAACAGGCCTGTGCAGTACATAAAGAATACGAAAGCTTGAATAATTGTGCAATTGCACTAACATCATAGATTGATGGCAGGCTTCGATTATATAGAAGTATTCAAATCCATATTGCTGAATCCGATTTTTTTGTAGCACTTATGATTCAGTAATAGCTACAGTTTTCATACTTATTCTTAAAAATGGGGGTTGAAAAATTCTAGTTGCCTCAAAGTAATGTAAATGATTTTCAGAACATCAGAGAAACGCGATGCAATTCTGTTCTTTGCTGGACAATTCAACGCCGATGACTATATCTCACTAGCTATTATAGGACCGAATATAATTTTGAGGTAGGCTTTATTTGGTACGCAATTCTGCAGAACTCGAAGAATGCTTTCTGTTTATCAGGAAAGCCACAATCAAAGCTACTTCGTCTTGACATTCGTAATTTTAAGTGAGAAAATGTCAGATAAATTGCTAGTCATTTTCTTATAGCAAGTACATCATCCGCTAATGGCTTCTGAGTTCTGAACTTTCGAATTTTGAAAAACTCGATGTACAGTTGAAGGAAAAACTTGTGCTTTCCTCAGATAATAGAGGCAATAATTTTTAGTTCAGTACATGTACCGAATTAAAGAAATGTCAGATAACTCTGTCATTTCTTAGGAAAACTAATTTACCCGCTAATGACTTTTGTAATCTGAACTTCTCATAGTTCAAAAAAGGCTTTTCGAAGTTTCAATTAAATAATATTCCCCTTTAGAAATCTCATCATCGTGGTTGAGACTTTGAACTCAACTTGCAGCTTTTTGTCTCATTGATGACGACGCAAATTTGCACAACTTTTTTGGCATTGAATGCTGATAATTTTCACTAATGCTTACTGACAGATGCCGATCTTAGCAAAGAACTCAAAGCTTGCAAAGTTTTTTTTTCACTGGAAACCTAGTTGAACTTTATTTTCTAAAAATCGAAAAGTGATTTGGGCAACCAAAGCAGTCGACAATGGGTTAAATTCGCAAAAACTCAAAAAAAAACTCGAAAAAAGTTCTTGTTTTTTTCCAAATTGCGCTTTCCTGAGAAAATGGCGCAATTCTCAGCCGGCCAAAGACTGCTGAGTTTTGGTGAAAAACGTAGTGACAGGCAACCAACCAACGTGAAGAGAATCCAATTAAGGCATGACTGCGGCGAGGGAGCAATCGAGGACATGTATCGTGGTCCGTTTGCTGTCAACGAATGGCATTCGGTCACCGTATGGAGAAAATTCTGTGATCGAACACAAATGAAAGTCGACACACGACCGTTGATGGTGGATCTGACAGAGCAGTTTAGGGTAGGTAGACTACTTGTCAGTACACCTACACCAGATGATTGATATACTTCATAAAGAGCACTCGTAATGTCCCATCAAAATGCACTGCAGAAAAGCACGTTAAACTTTTCTGTAGTTCCTCCTAGGCTTCCTATCGGACTAACCTACCGCCTCTTAACTTTTTTTTCGCCTAAATACTATAATCAGCACGAGGCTATAGAGCAGCACTGCATTTTTTCATTTGAGATAAACAAAAATAAAAGAAAGGGACAAAAAATAAGCGGTGCCATGAATTGAAAAAGTAGGTCAAGTACGGTGTAAAACGGCTGTATTTTTAAATTCCATTGCTGCCTTGAAAACAAAAAAGTCGGAGAATGCCCCAAGAAATGATAAATTCCTTGGCCATGAGGTTTTCGGGACATCCTAACATATCAATGAATATAGTAACTCATCAGGGTAAGAAACTATAATAATGAATAGGCTAACTTACGCCAGATATGCTGGTCGAAAAACGCTTTGTTTCGTGTTTTGCTCTAATTTTCAAAGTGTAAATTTTTTTCAGATTTAACTAGACTGAAATGAAATCCGGTACTCTATGTTGAGAGCAAGACATGCATCCGTCAACATCGGTAAAAACATTTCCATTAGTGGATTAAAATATGTCGGCAAGGGTAACTAGCTTCAAGCAAACAATTATCATAGTTTCAGAATGTGTGGTTTATCCAGTGAGATACATAGACAGCAGTGGCGTAACCAGGATTTCGGCTCGGGGGGGGGGGGGGGGGCGCGGCAAAAAAATTTTTCAAATGAAGGTGCGTGGCGTTAGCCACGCACTCCGAAAAAATTTTAGGGGGGGTTTCTCAACAATTTTGCGGGCCCCCAACCCCTAGAATCTGGTTTTCAAAAATTTAAAAAATTATTTTAATTGTTCACAAAAATAAACAAGTCATTTGCACATTTTTGTGACGCATGTAAGTAACTTTCAAAAATTTCGCGGCCCGTTCTCGGGGGGAGGGGGGCGCGCGCCCCCCCCCCCCACTCGGTACGCCACTGATAGACAGATATTGAGAAATGAAAGTTGCCAGCATTGCGCAAACATCATAGACTATATAACTAGCATAGAATGTTTTGGGAACAGAAACTCAAAAATTTCTCAATCTTGGATGTATTGGACGCTTCTAACTCGAACTGGATTAGTTCCAAAAAAACCCAGCAATTATGCTTCCTTATACAAAATTGAGACAGGGAACACCGACCTAGAAATCAAACCGGCCAACATGCTGCACCATTGACTATACCAGAAAACGGTAAATTCAAAGATGTCGTTCACATCTGCCACTGTCTCTGTAGACAAAATTCTGAGCATTATTTCAAGTGATTTGTATATGCGAAGGTAAAAATTACAATAAACGCGCGAGCCGTTTTTACTGCACCCTATGGAGTTACCTATCTGAAGAGTGGTCTAGCACCAAACTAAAGTTGCATCTATATGTTCATCCTTGTCATAAAATTGCACATAGCTATCTACAAAGAGTCTAGCAGGTAGGAAAAACAATTTGGAATCATTTCATACCCATATAGCAGTGGCAGCCAGGGATTTCCATTAGAGGTGTCGAATTTACTCAACTAAAGGTACATGGCTTCAACCACGCGCTACAAATTTTTTTTCGGATGCTGCAGGCCCTTATCCCCGTATTTTAGAAGGAGAAGGCATTTTAAAGGCTCTTGAGCCCTCAAAAGTTTCAAGAGTCAATTGTTTACATGTCAAGTAACAAGTCACCTGCATAAAATCTCTTTGTTTGAAATTTTCTGCAAACTATTTACTTAACGAGCTCGGACAAGTTTGCAGAATTTTCACATAGTAACGAACATACATGTATCATAGCAACCTCTGCTGATTAGGTACCATTGTGCAGTTTCGTAAATATATGTCTAAATAAGGTCGGTGAAAAATCGTTTTTATGTGAAAAAAACTTTTTGCTATGGCTAGATGGTTCTTACTGTGAAGAATTGTTGAAAATCGATGAAAAACAACAAAAAATACGAATGAAAAATCATAAAACTTTGACATTATAAGCAATAAAAAAATAGGTGTGTGAGTTATTCGGCAAGTTTCAGTATTTAATAATAAATACGGAAATAGCCAAACCTTCCTGTATTGTTTGCTCTTCGAATAATTTATTTTTTCTGAAACGGAAAGAAAGGTTTTTTTCATAGAAATGCACTTTTTCCTTCTTAAGGCAATCTTAAACTTTCTATATTCGGCGCTGAGAGTCAATCCGCACTTATTCACACTTCAAAACAGTAGAAAATCCAATTTCGTCAACATAGACGTTGCTTTTCTAACTCCGTAAATTAACTTGACCCAGATGGGAAACGAGTTCCCCTGCAACTTCCGAAGCTCCCTGAAAAACAATGCGCATTTAACGATTTTCACGCGAGTGTCAACGAAATCATGGCTGCATGTGAAAACAAAAGCTATGTGTCTGATTAAAAAACTTCGAGACTCGGAAAAAGTGCTTTTGCAGTTCTACAAAGGAATAAGTATGGACGAAGGAGTTTTCCTCGGTGGTGCACCTCCGAATATAGATGCGTTGGAGAGCAAAGTTGGAACAACGAATGGTTTTCACGGTTGTATCAGAAAGGTAAATCCTTGCAAAAAAATTTTTGAACAATTTTATTTGTTCCTTGCAGCTAATAATAAACAATGACGTGCTGTTGGATACGGAAAATGAAGTGAACACAGCTGTAAACTTGCAAGATTTGGGTAAGTTTCTTTTAGGCTAGAAAACGAGTCTTACACCAAAGTTCCGAAAATTTCGTGTAACAGTAAAATACATCTTTTATGATGAAACGTATGTTGTATCCTACCTTAAACATTGACGACTTTGCTTCGGACAGAATAAAAATCTAGGAAAATAAACTTATATTTACTAAAAACATTCAACTATTACTGATGCACTCTTCCAGGAAAACCAGACCACAAACCAAGGCCAAAACTCAACCAGATTTTACTAAATATTTTGATTTTGAGCAACCGGAAATCAGCAAAACATGTGTCTAAAACACATGATATTTTATAGAGTAGATCAATCAAATAAATCAATGAAACTGATTCTGAAAATTTGGCGATTGATGTTCTAATCTAATAGCTAATTTATTGAATGTCGTTTGAAATCATGAATACGAAGCCCTCCAAACCAGTGTGGTCTTTCGATCTTATCTGATAAACATGGACTCTCTCTAACCTCTAGGCTTTTCCTCTTTGTATTTTTTATTAAACCAAGGTTTCTAAGCTGTGAGGACGCAACTCCTGCTGAGGTTTGTCTCTAACTTCCATAAATGCAATTTCAAGATGTATTGTCAGAAAAGATGTCTTGTTATCGAATTAAGGACGAGAATGTTGCTAAAGTAAGGCATGCACTAGTTCAATAAACTTCTTTGAGCAAAGAAGAGAATTTTGTCCTAAAACAGATTGAAATCTTTAAATGGATTCAGGAACTGGAGGAAATGAATCTGTCGCAGTTATCAAAAGACTTGAATGCAATAAAATGTGCCGATAGTTTATCATAATTTGGACAAGCGTCTATAAGTATGGGTCTATAGGGCTGAATATTTCTCAATAATGGCTCTAACGCGGGCGCAGCTTTACTATTTCGGCGATTTAATCAGCTTTTTTACTTTTTTCGAAACACTATTCGTCACTCCTAGTCATGGTGCAACTGAGTAAAAGATTTTGAAATAATTTATAGTGCCTGGCATTTCTACAGTAATTCCAAATATTTTCGAACGCAGAGTATTTCTAACTACTCTATATCTATTGTTGAGTCATAGCTTGAACGATTTCAATTTTCGTGGAAGGTGGGAGGGGGGAGGCAAGGGGGAAAAAGTTTGTATAGTTAGGCATGAGCTACGAAATTTTTTGTGACGCTTCTCTTTTGTGGCATTTTGTGATCACTAAATTTTGAGCCAACCAAACCAATATTAAGTTTTTCAAGTTTGTAGAGTTATTTTCTATTCTTACAAAAAAGCTATCGATTTGCAACTCATATTAGCCCAGTCTATATAGCGCTAGAATTTCACGCTTTCTTCGAGAGTCAACAAGTCCTTTTCAGAGTACTGTAACCCGATCACGCAGACGCAAACGGCTCCACTTCCGAAAATCCGAGAAATCGACTTGTCCACTGGCAGGCTTTACGAACACGGTGAGAATTTTCCCAGCACTTGAAACCCCTTTCAAAGCTAACGACGCCCGCGGGGGAAAGTGCAGAGCTCGTGTCTCACGGCGGCTCATCGCCGCGAAGGCGTGGCTGCCGTGCTCATCGCCTTCTGTCGTCTGATCGACGATGTGGCGGCCATCGGCTGTTCTTACCTTATTTCTACTACAGTACTCCCTAGCATTACCGTATGACTACTACGGTATGTTCCTCGAACGGCTAGTATCGCATCGTATTTTAGCCGAACTTGATTCGGAAAAGTCACAGCCACATGAGACGACGCATATTTACACAACAACAAAGCCCTCGACAACTACGCCATTAGGAAATGCTGTAACGAGATATCCAGGTAATTTCCGATCCATACTAATCTGCAAAATCTATAATAAAAGCCGCTATATCATCAAAAATTACGGTAACAATATTTTTGCAATTGCGATCGATATATCGATTTTCTTAGTGTGATTCCCACCGCGGTGGCAGTTTCATATTCGATTTACGACTAATAGGAAATTTGGATTCAAGAGTCGATCATGAACGAATAAATCTTGAATCATTTTCACTTTTCTCACATAAGAAGTGTAATTTTGCCCTTATCGCTAGAATTTTTTGATGCACCACCTCTCACTAAGCCGAAACCTACTATTTGAAATATAATGCCGGTGAATGTGTTGAATCTAAATCGTTGCATTCTGTAAAGCTTACAAATGTGCCGAAAGTGAGCAATTTTGAGATTCATATAACTCTTTTTCGTAGTGGATCCTCGCGAGAAAGCCATTGCCGGCTATATCCATCGTATTTTTCGGTGAAACATTTATTTGAAGGGCTTATTAGAGGCGGAATTTTTAAGTTCTTTTTCGCCAAATTCCAGCTCGTGCCTGTCCTACAAGAAAAGCCAAAAGAAAAAGGTACAGGGTTTGCTATGGAACATTCTCTTTTCATAATTAATGCTCGAAAGCAGAATCTCCAAAGAGATGTCCAGTAATTGAAGGTTTGCAATCTGTCATTTTCACCTGTTTTCGCCTTTATCTATATTACGAAGCCAGCAGAAAACCAGAAAGACCATAACCTACTCTTTGCACGAAAACTTCTTGAAAATTTGTAATCATTTCTATTGATTTCTTGACTTTTTGGAGAGTCTCAATCTTCGGATATTGCCGAGTGGAAAATGACCTTCTCAAGCTTGAAATCTTGCAAATTTATAGCCATAATGAGGTCTATAGAGTGGCTTCTGCATCAAAACATGTTAATTTTTTGTAACTTGTCCTGTTCTACTAAGAAAATTATGAAAATTCTTGTAAAATGCAATTTTTTACAAAGTGCCTGAATTCAACAACAACGTCTTCTTACAGGCTTGTCATATATATCAAAATCTTCCATTCTTTCTAATTTTGAAAAGAAAAGTTAAAACGACGAAAATTAGCGAAAAAAGCTTTTCTTAATGATCTAACACAACTGGACTTCTTGCCTTAAGCTGGTCTTATTTTTGTTTTCGTTGAAAAATTTGGTTTTTTTTACTAGTTCACACCCATGCAGTATATATTCAAATATAAATAAAAAATGAATAGACCTTTCCCAACCCCCATCAAACTTTGGCTCGTCCTTAGGCACATGTAATATGATCCTTTTTTACCAATTTAATGCAGAAATTCTATTCGTGACTCATATAAGGCAAGCAGCTGTATTGATAACTGGAGGTAAACCAAAAAAACATCACTTAGGTTTATTTATACACTTGCTAGTTATTTCGTTAGACAAGCATTCCAAGAATTCGTAAAGCGGATTCGCTTTCAAAATTCAATTTGGTGAGATGATGCGATATAGACAAATCCCTGACATCCCTAACACTCCCCTATCGTACCATAAATGAAGATTTTCCATAAATAACTTGTATATAGCTTGTGCAAGGTGCTGCAAGAATGTGCTAGTCAATGTATAAGTTCAGCTTTCCCAGACAAGACCGAGCCGTGGGAAGGAAACACTTACAAAAGTGCAATGCTCAATTATTACAGTACTTGGGATAAGTATCATGTGCACTGATAAACTGCTACAGTACCCAGGCTGCATAGCTCCATTTTCAATATAAAGAAGAAATAAATACGGGTTTTACTGAGTTTCGTCCCTTTCCTTAGACGGAGGTTTGATTTTTAGACCTTCTTCGAGACTCCTAAGTAAGGCAAAGGGTCTAGACGATTAAGGATGATATTTTAAAGATAAAGCGTAGAATGTATCTTATAAATGTAGAATTTCTGAGAGTCGGACGGACTTCTGTGTGTAGTGTACAAATGTGTAATTTTTTCCTAGTTGGATTACAGATCTCCCATAATGCTCAAAACTGTAGAAACATATTGCACTATTTTTTGAGTTTTTTTTTGTTCCCTTAATGGAGCATAGTAGAATTATGAACATCCTATTGCTTCCATCCACAGAAAATTCGTTGCTTAAAAATTTCAAGAAAGTAAATCTCAGCATATCACAACACAAAGATCGATTCAAAAAAATTCATCAGTTTATCTTTTCTCTTCTTTTGCATAACAGAAAATATACAGCAAGTTGCGAGTTGAATTTGCGTACCACATTGAGCCGACCGCTCTCTTTGCAACCATTTTTAATCGAATTTGTGCAAGCCTAAATACCCCAACATGTTTACGGGTGCAGGAAAGTTGATTATACATTGACTTTTCTCGATTACGCTCGTTTTTGAGAGTATCCAAATGGGTGGCCAGCGAGAAAAAACAACATAGAAAAAAGGCTTTACCTGATGAAAAGCTCGTTTTTTGTATGGGCAGGAAATTACTTAGAGTGATAGAATTGCTTTTGCATTTTTTCGCGGAGAACTCAAAATCAAAGCTACATTTGAAAAAATGGCGTTCCTTAGCGCAGAATCCAATGAACCAACATTCTGAATAAGATGTTTGTTCATATAAATAAAAGAAACATTCGGTTAGCTTTTCTTGTTGATTTTTTATCACTAAATGTTTGATTGATTGTCATCAAATAATGAATAACTTTGAGATAATTTTTTCTGATTTTTTATCCATTTTTCTGAGGAGAATTTTTTATCTCGAAGTGGTAAAAAGCTGTTTTTCTTTTTCTTTCTAACGAATTTTACTTTTTACGCGGCAGAGACCGAAAAAAAATATTTTGTAAATATTGAAATTCAATTATGGCGTCACTAGCATTACTTTTCACGAGGCAGGGCTCAAAAAAATAAACGAAATGTTGTTCTGATAGTGCTACTTATCTACATTCAATGATCAGCAAAGATCTAAAGATGCAAATTTCCGATCACATCAAAAAAAAAATTCGCCAATTTTTTTTCATTGATGAACAGTCATTATAAACAAGGCTTAGCAGAAAAAATCGTTCAAGAGCTTTATTTTAGAAAACACATTCAACATCTCCACATCGGCCGATGACCTACTCCTCCTGCCAACCCTAAAAGTAGCTGAATTTTCCGGCTCGTCCTTCATCACCTTCCCAGCCCCTCACGACATCGTCGACTATCTCGATCTAAGAATCAACTTCAAGCCGAACATTCACAGTGGCCTTCTCTTCTTCTGGCAGGATGCTGGACGATATCTCGCTGTGTTTATGGAACGAGGATTTGTCAATGTGCAAGTGACGATGGGCTCGGATACGGCAATTCTCAGGCAAGTGTGAAAACAATCTCCTCGTATTTTCACGCGCTGACACCGGAACACATTTCAATTTCATTGTATGGCTAAGCGACTTTTTTCATAAAAATATTCATTTTTACGTCGCAAAGTATCAAGTATTCTTTGAAAAGAAGTATGATAGAAACATGGCAAGACAGAATGCTAATTACTATTACTGCTAATTAAAAACTATCCAATTTTTTACATTAGTCAAAAATTCCCACTCAACTCGAATTTTATAGCAGCTAAGTGCGGTGTTTACATTCTAAGAAACTAAGTCAAAAGTTCAGAAGCTTAGCTGAGTAAAATTTCCTGCGGATTCAAATCGACGTACTACCCTGACTGAGAAATTCAATCCACGAAGTGCCCTTTAGTGCTAGATAGGCTGGGACAATCAAAACAACTTGAAACTTGATATACTAATGTCTTGTCCTTAAATAGGGAAATGGGAGTCCTGGAAGGTACCGCCGCTTTGTAGTCTTTTACATTGTTACCATTGTACTCACACTCGTATAATGCAAAAACAAAAAATAAATAAATTAAATATAACGACAAAACAATAAAACGTACACATGCTATGTATGCAAATCTTACCACCATATCAGACAATCAAAATTATTTTTTATTTCCTCAAAAGTCAAAACATCTTTGTGAAATAGTCTGCCGAAGGTTTGAGATGCTTAACCTTAGACAGTTTCAGATATATGTAATCGGCTTTTTTATTCGAAAAAATTTTTGTATCCTCCCTGCGGTAGTGACTATTAACTAGCCAACTTCTTTTGCTGTAAGCTGGATATGTTTGTTGGGAATTACATAGCTCTCTTACCGTAATCCATAGCTTTGTTGTTATGCATTTGATTTTCTTCTTGGCTAGAGGACTTTTAATCCAAAGTTGAGCTTTTTTTCAGTAATACCCTACGAGATATGGGAACTATTGACGATTTGTACAAGACAACAGTCGAAAATTGCCTGGCAACTAGTCATCTGAAAAGCTATCTGAAGTTGAGTGCACTAGCAAGAGAGATAAGCTTTTTCGAGATTTTACTCCAAAAAATCGAAAAAGCAACCGAATTTCTAATTAACTAAAGTCACGAACTCTCAAGAACTCTGCACCCATTAAATTCTCACGCAATACGAATTCCTTTTCATTTTAGCGTTTTTACAAAGAGTATTGGGGATCAAAGAAGAGGATAAAGGATAAGAATGAAGTGTTCGCCAATACGTAAATACACGACTTCTCCTCGTTCTACAGATTTTCTTTGAAATAAATATAAAACATTTACTGCTATTTTGCTTCAACGTTTTCAACATGCTGTAATAAATTGCGTGACTCAGAAAAACTTTCGCTCTGATGTATAGCTAAAATTCTTCTTGGAACTCCATATATTAGGTTAGGTATCGCCCTGATTTTATTTCTTGTGATGAATATATAATAAGGATGAATCTGGATGATAATTAGAGCCCTAGAATATTTCCAAGAGGATCTTCGAGCCTCTTACTTATGAAGTGTCAAGACCTTCTCTACCAATAAGACAATTCGAAAATCCAAATGCCTCAAAACAATTTCATTTCCCGTCCTTTTTTACCGCTGAAGTGAGTGCAGGCCAAGTCTTTATCACAAAAGATATTAGTTAAACTATGGATGATTTGGATACTACCATAAGCACCATAGCTATCAGTCTCGCATCTGGTATGAGGAAAGTTTTATGTTTCGCTTTCCCACGCTATTTTTGTCTGGGGAGCTTTATCCGAGTTCCTATAGTCTAGCGAAATTTGACACTCGTAAAGTTCTATTAACTAGACTGATTTAATGAATGCAGCCAAGAAAAGAAGAAGGTTTGAAGAAAAAATTTTGAATGTAACAACAATACAGACAATCAAAATCTTGAATCTTTTTAGTTTGAATAGCGAGCTGCATAGAGCGATCTTATAGCTTCTACATTTATACAGATAATTCCTTGAAGAAAATTACATATAACAAATACTTACTCTAGGTCGCAATGTTTCCATGGAAGGGTTCCAGCTTGGGTTTTGGGCTAAAGCGTTCAAAAATTATTTGCAACATGGAGAAAAAAGGAAGCGCTTTCTCATATGTGCGCGCCATCAAGGGCTCAAAACTGAGAAATCAAATTACCGCAAACAAGCAAACACCCACTCCACCATGATTCCTCGCCAACAAAAAAATGAATGCCCAGCTGTGCGTGGAAGATGAACGGGAAAAAGGTTTCGGCTCGTCTAGATCCTGAAGAGTGGCTAAAGGCATTCCACTTTCTCTTCAAAATTCTGAATTTGCCAAGTTTTGCAATAACCTTGAGGATGAGTCCATCAACATATCAGTTCTTTCCCAAATTATTGAATTACCAAACCGTTCGCGCAGGGTAAAGCTTAGTGGCTGAAAGGGGACGGGGAGAGGAAGGAGGGTGAGGATCGTTGGTCCCATTGCTCATAGTGAGCGTAAAATAGCATTAGGTTTCTTGTGGCCATTCCAATTACTCAGCAAGTTGTCATTTCAGGTCCGAGTCACCCGTATTATTGCATCAATGGCACAAAGCAGAAGTTTGGCGAACCGGAAAAGGCATCCTTATGAAGGTTAGACTTTTATGGCTATAAAAGACTTTTTAGTGAGAAGGACATTGAAATACAGAAGATTTTAGTTTTAAAACTAGAACATCATGATTTACAGTGGAAAATTTAAAATTCACCCTGGTTTTTATTGAAACCTTAGTTTTTAGGTGGATCGCCAATCCTGGGTTGAATCTCAATTATTGTCCATTGGTGAAGTACTCACTCAACCTGGTATGCTCTACATAGGCGGATACGATGGTACATTACCTGATCACCTTGCTATGATACCTGGATTCCATGGATGTGTGAAGAAGGTAAGGTCAGACGTTACTAACTCGTTGGCAATGGAACATCCTGCCATAGGTTCCTTATGCACTCGTTACCGCAATTACCGTAACCTTGTGCAATCCATATATGCCAGGTTTTCTTTCGAAATGCTGTAGCGCTTTCAAACAGTTTTGAAAAAAGGATATGTTCTTCTCAGAGAACATTGAAATACAGTTTGACAAGGATAGCCTACAGGGTTAGAAAAATTGAGCAAAGGACTTGTTACATGCGAATAATGAAAATACTTTTCAAGATTCTACAGAAGTTTAAATCAAATTGCAGAAAAAAAGCTCGAAAGTCTCTAGAAAATTATTCCGGAAGGCACGGTTGATGTTAGACCTCTTCAATTATATTTTGTCCCCCCCCCCTCCCGAAAAAATTTTCTTGGATCGTAAATGTTGGAATATGATATACTGTACATTTCCATGTAGGAGGGATACACTTTTGAACTTGTGGTTACGGTAGCATACCGTAATATTGCAAAACTTCGCCCCGCCCAGTGTTAGAACACTATATCCACCAAATCCCATTTAGGTTCGCCTGAATGGAAAAGCGGTCCTGCTAAGGGCTGGAAGCGGACAACACGTACGTGAATGTGGAATAGATCCGTGTGCTATAGCAGCTTGTCCCCACAGCTGCACTTCCAACAATGACGATTTCATTTGTTTATGCGACTGGCCGCATTATGGTAGAACTTGCGAACAAGGTCAGTTTGATACCGTAAACTGAAAGCTGAATTTTACAGTAATCTGGAACTTTTAGAAGCCACAAGAATATCGGCTATGCGCTTTGGTGGTCATTCCTACTTACAATTTTCGGATGAAGAGCATATGAATCAGTGAGTGGAACTACTTTCTATTTTTAGCTGCCAAGAAAAAAATGATTTTTAGAATAACTGGAGACTCGCTCAATATGGAAATCAATATAAAGATACAAAACGCTAGTGATGAAGATGGCTCAGCCAAGAGCCAGGTAAGTCGGACTTCTTTAGTTTCCTGAAAACTAGTTTAAATCTCTTGAATTTTAGCTGCTTGCGTTTGCTGGTGAAAATGGTATTACCGGCGACTTCTTCCGCTTACTAATTACCCCGGTAAGAAATACGAGTTCTCCCCTCCCCTCCCCTCCACTTTTCAGAATCTAATGTTTCGGGTTCTAGGATCGTGCAGTGCAAGTGATGATGAATCTTGGCTCCGGCTTGGTCTCCCTGACACACCCGACGCAGCTGGTACCGAACAGATGGGCGCGGATCGAGATTGTAAGGTGGGAATCTGTTTTGAGAGACATTCTAAAGGAGCGTCCACTCAAAATCTAGTCACCTCAGATTACTACTTATATTATTAGCAGGCCCTAAAAGTAGACCAACCGCGTTGGTCCGGTCCCATAATGTAGCCTGCAAAAGAAGATAACGGACCTGGATCATCTTTAGGCTTCGCCCTCTTTTTTGCGTTCCACCCACCCACGGATTGCCCCGTGACCTGTCCTGATATGACACCAACGTCGAGACGCATAGTTTGCGATGTGGCACTGTTGCACACGACGAGTTTTCCTTCTGCATACGACGTGAATAGCGGGGTGCACCCGTCCGGGGGAGGGGAGGGGGGGGGGGGGGCAAAGTCGACCACAAGCTTATCTTACTACCCCCTACCGTAAGCTTGAAAGGCCCCTATCACTTGAAGTGAGTGCCTTTTCAGTACATTTAGTAAGTTCTGCGAGCGAATTCCAGAAGGATTCTAATTGTAAGATTTTGGTATTTGGGTCAATCAAAGCGGAATAGCTCGATTATCGGAAGAATATTGTTCAACTGCGAAGCGTTGTTTACGAGTCAATAGTTGTCTTACTTGAGCATTTTCATCATATCAACTTGAATTCATGCGCTGCTATAAAGCTTGTTGAGCTTGTTGAAAATTGATGGATGTAGAAATCTAAATACCTCAAAGTAAAGCCATTCAGCCCATCAAGTTTCATTTTCGCAGTCAGAAGGTAACCTTTGATTCAACTGGCTTGGCGGCTGGAAGGCGGAGTTAACGTGACCTAATTAAGGCCGCTCGCACCTCTAACGCAGTCTGCGTCTCTCCCGCGCGCGTGCTCTCTGGTCATTACCTAGCCTTAAATAGGTCATGAAGCCCCGCCTTCCAGCTTCAAGCCAGTTAAACCAAGGGGTATCAAATAATTTTATTCTATAGAAATATACGTTTGATTCGCTAGGATAAAAACAAGAACAAGAACAAAGAAGAAAAAATATCAGTTAGTTATAATAAACATTTTTAAGAAAACGACGTCAACTCACACTGTCAATCAATGACGCCACACCAATTACAACTGTGGCTCCAGGCGAATCTGAGCAGTTGAACGTCTACAAAGGACTTTTCATAGGTATAAATTGAAGCATTGCCGCAGACTTGATTCAGAATATTCTCGTTCAATTTTTAGGTGGAATGCATCCTGATGCACAACATCTGGACGGTTTCCGAGGTTGTATAGAGTCGATCGAGATCGGCACCGTCGTGCTCGACCATCCAAAACAAGCGACGACCGCTATAAACATACAAGATTGTGACTTGTAGTAGATTAGTTGAAGGGGAGGCCCCGCAGCCTCTTATGATGGGTTTATATTCTGACCAGAGCTTCTGTGAGCGTGAGAAGAGAGATATGTACATAGAACCGAATTACACTGGTGCATTCTATTGTTAATCTAGTTCTGTTACACTAGTAATAAACCTTTGTTTAGTTTTGCTTGTTTCCCTACAAATAGTTCGCATAGCTATCCTTTGATCCAACTACTAGACTGGCGGCTGGAAGGCGGGGCTACGTCACCTAATTAGGGCTAGGAAATGATCAAAGAGCACGTTCGCGAGGGAGATGCAGACTGTGTCGCGGACGCGAGATCGCCTTCTATCCGCCATTCTCGTTGAATCAAAGGGTAAATTTCTGGGTGGATGATAATGTCTAGGTAAGTTGACAGTACGATTTATTGCTTAGTGCCCAACCGTCCTGAAAAGTAAATGGGAAAGCGTCCTCTGTATCATTTGTATTGCACATTTTTGTAGCAGTTTCACTGTTGTACCAAAACGTCGAATCATCAGGAGCTACAGTATGTTCCAACGGAGTAGCCGAAGCACTGAAGCGCAGTAGCGCGTCCGCACCGCTGAAGGCTTTGCGAACGGAGTCCTGCCATTCTGCAAAGCGAAGACTGAGGGGAATAAAGAGACACAGATATGGGTTCTTGGCACGATGTGACATACTGTAGCTGCGAAACGGCGCGAATTGTTGCGAGCGAACGCTCGCCCATCCAATTTCCGCCTGAGCAGGATGGAACTTACTGTACCATGTTCCACTATTTGCCATAATGAATGTCTATAAGTTCGCACCTGCCGAATAAGGCAAGAGAGAACTATGCAAAAGTTTGTTTTTGATTTATTTTTGGAAGGTGAAGCAACTTTTGTTTAGCAAGCTTAGCTTTGCACAATCACTAATCACTTTACGTTTGTGATCCCGAAAGATTGTCCAAGTTCAACTGTCGCTTAATCTCGGCATATTGTAGAAGCTTGTTGTGGCTTCTAGCTGTACTGGGACGTTTCAGCGGTATCGCCTTCTTCAGAATCTGAAATTGTCGAATGCATAAGTAAACTAGCTTATCAGAAACGGTCCCAAGATTCAGGAAGACGCGCAGTGCGTTAGTAAACCAAAAAATCTAAAGTGAATGATGGATGATGGGATTAAAGGATGCAGCATTAAACTAATGCTTGTTAGATAGATGCCGACGAAGTGGTGCTGCAGACCACTATACCAGTAACTGAGCCCTAACTTTGTTTATATTTTTTGATTCTACAGGATTGGCGGCTGGAAGGCGGGCCTCGAAGGCTACGGAATGATCAGAGTGCAGACGCGGGAGAGACGCAGAGTGCACGGGCGCGAGAGAGATGCAGACTGCGCCGCGGTGCGAGTAATCTGATCTAGCCGCAATAGTTGAATTAAAGGGTACCTAGTGAGCCGGCTCAACTTGACCACAAAAGCCGCAAAAGATCTGACACGACAACAGCTCATTCGTGATATCTATACGCCCATTCTTTCGATTCCTACTGGGATTTTTGGCTGTAATCCAAAACGCCTCTGAAGTCTCACGCATAGAATTTCGGATTCATCCGCTAAAAGCGTGACTTCCGCCCGTTTGTCTCTGTCATTACGAAAAGTGTCTGCGATTTTGTTCACTAGAATTGCAGTGCTTGTTTTTTTTTTGAGCCCTCCCAATGTTCTTTGACGCGTACACATAGAGGGTGTCTCGTTTCGCGGATGTATGTGCTTCCACATATCTGACAGGTGATAAGCCCCCGCAATCATACAGTCGCCTTCTTTACCCTGACATACGATGCATCCTGTGGCCGTATTCATCAACGAACCCAGTGGGTTCCGGAACCCATTGAGTTAGTGCTCTTGATGAGTATCGATTTTACTCCAAGGTAGAATCGATATTCATCAAAAGCACTAACCCAATGGGTTCCGGAACCCACTGGGTTCGTTGATGAATACGGCCACTGGAGTCATGGGAAGCCTATCATATGCCCCATTTCGTACTAATTGCTGCTTAAGGTTTGTAGGGTGTAAGTTTAGCCTCAGATCCCGAGAGATTTTTCTCGAATCTTTTTGCTGAAGTGGAGCAGGATTTCCTTTAATCTCAAATTCTGAGTTTTGTATAGCAAGATACTGATAACTGCACGCCTCAAAGGATTTTGAAATTTTCATAATTCAATTCAGTAACGCGCTATTCCAGTAAATGTGACATATGTTGTTCTTGCGTTAAACATCTGCGCACAGAAAATGTCTGAGGTTTCCATATCTTGAGGTATGCACTCTGCCACATGGAATAATTCCACAAATGGTTTTTTATATTCACACACTAGTACACTTTCTTATAAAAAAACACAACTCAAGCCCAGTCATTTATTCTCAAGAAATTTGCTACTACATGAAGCTAAGACACTGGGACTGAGAGTATAAGTTATTTGAGACAAAAGCGTAGCATCCACATCAAGCTTTGGAACTTCTCGCTTTTGCACTTACTGCATTAAACCGTGACTTCTTGCGCGAGATTCCAATGCTGGCTGCAAATCGTTTGGTGGCGAGCGTACGTTTGGGACATGGGCAGTACTGTCCGTCCCTTCCAGGAATACCGGGAAGTCCGGGAGCTCCCGGCATTCCAGGAGAACCAGGTCTTCCCATATTTCCTGGCGGACCCATTGGACCGGGTGGTCCGGGAATTGCGAATCCTGCAGGGGTACCGGGTGGTCCAGGAGGTCCAGGAGGTCCCACGGGTCCACTCGTGCCGGCTGGTCCAGGTGTTCCAATCATTACCTGTGCCGGTCTGCCAGGCATTCCTGGCTGGCCGGGCAATCCCTGACTTCCCGCTGGTCCGGGATCTCCCATAGGGCCTGGAGGTCCTGGCAATCCTACGCCTCCTCCTACGGCTGCTGGTCCAGGAAATCCAGGTAAACCTGGTGGTCCCATGGGTCCATCAAGTCCTGGAGGACCTGGCGGGCCAGCAGGGCAAGGAATACATCCGGCCGGTCCAGCTCCACCGCCTACCGAAATGCCATCATGTCCTCGTCTGCCTGCTACGCCGGGTAAACCAGCTTCTCCTGGGATTCCAGGCAATCCCGGTGGCCCAGGCGGTCCAGGAGGACAGAAAGCTGGAGCTGCTCCACATGCGCAATGTGCTGGCCACTGCCGAGTTTGTCGGTGCTTCTTGGAAACTGCTCTTTTGTTCCTTCCTTTGGACGGCTCCATTTCGTGCCAAGCAGAATCTGCCCAGTCCTGGAAGGTTATGATAAAACTTGCGTCAATTAATGCAAAGTTTTCTCACGTTGAACTCGGACAGCTCTTGCAAGGCATCGTTATAGAAGTCGTTAATATCGTGCAACAGATAGGCAATGATCCCTATAGAAAATAGGGTCGTGACTGTGGCACCGATAAGGGCGGTAGTGATTGCTGCTGTACCCATGCTGGAATAAATAACTTTGTCTTATTTCAAGTCTCATATGTTCTTGAGAATGTTTCCCAGCACGGTCGAAAAAACCCTACACTGAAAGGGACATTGAAAGGGATAAAACTTTGCTTTACTGTATTCTATTTGCAAACCGCAAGCAAGTGGGCATATTATATCTGCCAATACATGCAGAAAGATGTTTTGAATAGTAATTGACTAGTCGCTCGCAACTGCCATGCGTAACCTTTGATTCGACTGGCTTGACGGCTCGAAGGCGGAGCTTTGTGACTTAAAGGCAGCGTCCGGGCAAAATTTCGCCTCTCATGTTTCTGCCATTCTGGGGCCTTTCCGTGGCCCTGATTACAGTTGTAAAGTCCAAATTGTTCAAAACTCTCAAAAAACCCGGTTCTTGGGGACCCTCTCTTCAAGGAGCGGACGAGTTTCGAATTGCTCGTCCCCATCATCATACCAGCGGGAGGAGCTGCAACTGTATGGATGCAGTTGCATTGCAGTATGCAGTGCAACTGCAATGCAACTGCAATGCAACTGCACCCTGCGTAAGCACTCGTCCTCAGGGGTGGTTTGTGATACGAAGGGATGGCTTGTGATACGTATCACAGACCCGTATCTCCTTTTAGAGGGCACGTCAAAGGATTGGACCAACGCAGATCGGATACTCATGGGCCCCTCTTTACAACTATGTGCTAATCTGGGTGAATGGATCTTGCCTGGACGCTGCCTTTAAGGCCGTTCGCGCCCGCGACGCGTCTGCGTCTCCCCCGCACGCGTGCTCTCTGTCATTACCTAGCCTTAATTAGGTCACTTCCGCCGCCAAGCTAGTTGAATTAAAAAGTACTGTATGGTTGACCATCAAAAAGAACACGCAACACGAAACTTGCGCTATTGTTTGCCTCAAACTTGGGTATTGAATCCATTACAATAAGAATCAAGGCAGCACATGAGAAGAAGTTCACAGAACATAATGCTCTGATTTTTGAACAGAGAAATATTGCAAAATAGATTATAAGTGATAATAGTTCACGCGCATGATTGTTTCAACGAAAAACCAACAGAGGTGTGCTAATGAGCGCAAAAAGTGTGGAGTTCGCTAACGCGCTAAACTTCGGGAATATGATATGTAGCGAAAACTGTTTGCTTAGGTTTTTTTCACTTGCGTTTTTAGGAAAATGGGAAGCGACTAACAAGGGAACGATCCCAACTTAAGGTGGCGAATTGGAATAAACCGCATATCATTAGATGCGTCGTGATAAGGTGATTCCAAATCTGTCTTCCATATCTGCGACAACTTTATCTGCAAAAAGTTATGAGTGGTTGAAAATGTGAAGTTATTGGGGTTTCAATGCATAAAATGCTTCAAAATCCAACTTGAAGTGCACGACTAGCATGATATTGAGTGTATTGATTCCATTGAATGCTCAGATTCTAAAGAAACACAGATAAGTGTTTTTGAACAGCTAAAAAGCAACTAAAGTTCTTTGGTAAAAGCTGTGAGCAACGAAAAGTCCAAATTTGGCAAAATTACAGCGCCATACCTCGAAAATTAGTTGTTCAAAAACACTTATCTGTGTTTCTTTAGAATCTGAGCATTCCCTGGAATCAGTACACTCAATATCATGCTAGTCGTGCACTTCCAAGTTGGATTTCAAAGCATATTATGCATTAAAACCCCGATAACTTCACATTTTCAACAGCTCATAACTTTTTGCAGATAACGTTGTCGCAGATATGGAAGGCAGATTTGAAATCAGCTCACCAAGACGCATCTAATGGTATGCGGTTCATTCCAATTCGCCACCTTAAGTTGGGATCGTTCCCTTGTAAGAAGCGCATTGATAAAGCAATGAAAATGCTATGAAATTAGTGAAAGAAAATGAAACAAAGCGATCCTGCCTTTAGTTAGGTAATGCCGAGCGCAACTTCAGCAACCATATAGAAACAATACAAAAGAAAGTCCATTCTTTAGGACACCAAAAAAATCGATACCGTATCCTCCGATTGGGGGATAATAATAATAAAACTGTCAGGAGTTCGTTTACGAGGTTCCATCAACGCACATGTATCTTCGCGCAGAAATTTTCTCACGCTCTACCTTCCACTTCAGGGTGCATCAAAATTATTGGAGCGTGTGCTTCTAAGTGCAAAACGAACACAAAACCGGTTTAGACGAAATGTTGAGCTTGAAATTTGATGGAAAAAATATACTGGTGTTTTTTTCGTTAAATCTCAAAAGTTTGATGCTAAAGATAAGTTGTGCGCCATAACAGATACAGGCCTAGATCTGAGCACCATCTTTTTGTTGATAAATTAGTGAATTTCACAAGAAAGGCGAAAATTTGAAGCTTTGCTGGAATGAACACGAGCGCATGTATCTGAATAGCGATAAGCAATAAGATGTCGCTTATATATGTGCAGAGCGCTTGTGAAAGTTCAGTTTCATTGTGAGACCACTTGAACAGTGTATTCATGAAAGCTGTACAGCTATCAGTTTGCAGCTCTTCAATTACTGATGTTCCACACTTATGCAGGTTACTTGCACAAAAACTGAAGAGTTTGAGACTCTTTACATTGATGCCCAAACTTGTTACCGACCACTCGAGTTTTTGGACAAATCTATGCCTGCGTTTTCAAGCAAAAGATTTGGAAAGAATAAGCAAAGGGCATATAAGGTTCTCCAAGAAACTGAACAAAACTTTGCTGAGGTCCGATAAAATTCAGTTCTTCGTTATCCTCATGCCTAACCCATTCAGAAATGAGTTCGGAATGGGCAAGAATTTGCGAGAACCGAAAGCTTGCAATCACGAAAATTCAAGATTAATCCAAGGTAGTAGCTGCCCCCCTCCCCGAGAACGGGTCGCGAAATTTTTCAAAGTTATATGGGTTATAAAATTGTGCAAATGATTTGTCCGCACTTGTAACTAATTAAAATAATTTTTTAAAATAAAAAAATTATATTAGCCTTATAAAAACCCCATTTTTATTACGGGTTTGAGCCCGCAGAAATTATAGGGAGCACAAAAAAATATTTTTTTGTTGCCCCCCCCTCTCCGTGCCGAAATCCTGGGCATAGGTGCGATAAGGTGAATGACCCCTCCAGGGTGAAGGGGGTCACAGGCCACTGGTAGTCTTTCTGAGATGTGAACCGATGTGCTGCTGGATTAGCACACAATTATGTTTCTGACCAGCACCTTGTATTTTTTCTACATTTTCCCTTTTCCCTTTCTTATATCATCCTGCCTGTTTTTAAATTACCATAGAAGATGTAGCATGCGAGAATATTTGTTTTGGAAAGAGTTAGACAATTTTTAAGCACTTGCGGATTTTCTAAAAAAAAATTCGTAATTTCTGTGGATGAACAGCAACGTCAGCAAGGAAATTCTTTTCAAAACCACCTTGTCCTCTGCTTTCAGAGAATATATAGTCTGCCTCGAATCTGTTAAAAATGCCTGGTGAAGGGTGTGGGTAGTGATTTCTGGATATTACGAGTTTTCAGGATAAAAAATCCGTAACTTCTGCAGATGAACAATTTGTGCAAGGAAATAGCCAATGTCGGAACCGCCTCGTCCTCTGCTCTTGGAAAATATATAGCATGTCTGAGATCCGCCCAAAAAGTGCGTGGGTGAGGGGTGTGCTTAGTGATTTCTGGAGATTTTCGAATTTCTAACATGAAGAATTCGTAACTTTTGTAGATGAACAGATAGTACATGGAGATGTCACCATTGGAACCGCCTCTCGTCCTCCGCTTTCAGAAAATATATACTCTGCCCAAGGTCCGTTGAAAAAAGTGCCGGGTAAAGGGTTGGTGGGACTCTTATAATGGGAGTTCTCAAGTAAACGTCTTCTCACAATGGTAAAAAGCCTCCACCTAAGAACTCCCATTGTAAGAGTCTCACCCATTCTTCACCCGGCCCTTTCTTTTAACGGGTCCCAAGCAGAGCACATATTTTCTGAAAGCGGAAAACAAGGCGGTTCCAATGCTGATCATCTCGGCGTACAAGATTCTCATCTACAAAAGTTACGAATTTTTTTATGTTAAAAACTCGAAAATCTCCAGAAATCACTAGGCATACCCTTCACCCAGATACTTGAAGGATCTCAAACATGCTATATATTTTTTTGAAGCAGAGGACGAGGCGGTTCCGATGGTGACCATTTCCTCGTATCAGCTATTCATCTGCAAAATTAAAATGAATTTTTTAATGTCAAAAACTCGTAAGTGTCCAGAAATCACTAGGCAAACCTTTCACTAGGTACTTCTATGGACGGACTCTATTCAAACTATCTTATTCCCTGAAACCAGAGGGGAACGTTGTCCCGTGGAACTTTCCTCGCTGACAGTGCTGTGCAGCTACGGAAGCTACTATTTTCTCCTCCTGGAAGTTCGTAAATGCCTTTAAATCTTCTTCCTAGTTCCCGACACATAAACAGTTCTCGTACAAATAATTTCTTTGCTTAACCTTACCTCACTGTTGATTTTTTTCGGCTTTTGGTGAAGGGGGTCACCTTGATCTTGCAGAGGTGAAAGGGAGTGAGCAAATTCCTACCCTATCGCACCTATGATCCTGGGTACGCAACTGTTGCATATATATGTATATAAGTTCGGCAATTACTCGCTGTACAACTTTAGCTGAGGTAAAAAAATTAGAACATGTGTGTGTGTGTGAAGCTCGACAAAGCTGATAGCCACAACGAGGTTATTGGTGTACGGTGTACATATTGGCATAATTAATGTACGTTTCCCTTACCTCTTTCTTCAAAAGCTACTTTTCGAGGTAGAGCAGTTCTTCCTGAAAACTTTTGGTATATGAAAGCCCGTTTCTGTTTCCTTATATTCGCTCTTTTCCTCAAAAATCTCTGTTCAAACCAAAGTTTCATGCCCTCAAATATAAGAGACTGAAACTTGACCTTCGTTCCAATCTGCTTGCCTTAAATCCACCTAAAATGCCCAAATCTCGTCTCAAAAAGTATCGTAATCATGAGGTTTTCTGCTACCCAGTTAACTGCAGAATGAAATGATTCATGCTTGTCGATATCCCGAATGTTAACTTAAAGAAGCAGTTAGTTCGCAATAGGACGTACGATAGCGAATGCGTCTTATAAGGGAAGGATACTTGGTCGAAGTGGCGTACATATGAAATGTGTACTCTCGTATAGAGCATGTAACGCTGATTCCAAATCTGCTTTGGTATCTGCAAAGCGCTTCTGAGAGAGAGTTCTGGGATTTTCTGACGTATGAATTCAGTGATTTGGCTGAGGTAAAAATAGGTGTTGATGCCTTTCCGACGCTTGAAAGGAATAATGAGTAACATGAATTTATTAGATTAAAGGTTTTTATCTCATAAAACGTCCTGGTAGTAATCATGGCCCCATTTGAGCTCACGGACTAATTCTGAATGGTTTTATTGTAGCGGCGCTTTCAAATTTTTGCATCAAAAAGCTTCCATAACTCCCTTGCCAGAAGCGCTTCACGGATATCGAAAGGGGATTTGTACTCAGCGTTTCATGCTCTATAAGAAGTTATAGATTTTTATGAAACGCCACTTCGACCAAGTATACATCCTTTGTTAGAACAATGCACTGTATCCCCTATGGAAGGAGTGGAGATTGTGCAAAGACATGTGTGATATAAGCTGGAGTGTTTAAGCTGTCAAGATTGCTATATAGGAAAGACGGGTAGAATGCTAGGTATAAGGCTGAAGAAACATCTGACGGGGGAAAGGCGAGGATTACTTACAGCACCGCTGTAACGACATAAAGCTGAGAAACATGGTGGAGATGATTATGGAATTAAATGTACTATTTTGTCGTATGAGACTGAGATATGCGCCAGAAAAGTACTTGGAGCAGCGTGGACATTTGCGAGAAAACCGAAAAAGAATCATAAAAATGAATGTGTGTCAATCAGCAGTGATCTCGTACTGTATCTATCGTTATGTGATCTCACAGCCGCACATAAAAGCCTTGACAACTTGGGTGACATCAATGACGTCCGTTCCGACCGTCTGTGGGGCTTACTGAAATGCGGTGGATCCAAGGTCGGCTCGTTCCTAAACCTCAAAAACTCACGCTGCTATCCTATGTAGATCTAGACTGGCACGGTGAGGGAGGAGTCTCATGGCTTTACATTGCCCAGATTCGAATAAATCTATGATTTTCGTTCGACCTCTGAAGAAGACCAGACTGTCGAAACGGTCAAGTCCAATAAAGACATACCATATCTGGTCTGGCATAACACGGCATACACTAAGACTACTATCTCGGGTAAAGTTAATATAGACACGCACAAGTTTTCACAAGGTCAGGCTGCCTTTCGTATCCTCGTGCCTGACGTCAGCTAACTCGCCAGCAGAGTTCACAAAACGCTTCAATTGTGGAGTGGAATTATGTTCAGGTCTCTTGCCAATAATACGGTAGTTCTCTTCTCTCTGAAATACTATATATCTCAAAAAAGACCCGATCCACGGTTAACCACTTCAAGTTATATGTATCTAAAGTCGTTTGCGTCCCGAACGGCTATGATCTCCATGAGCTAATGTTCAGCCTATGTCATAGCCGTTCGGGACCATGGATTCTGCTGATTGTCTCCAACAGTTCCTTACAGTGGATTTATCCAAAAGCTGCTTCGGAAGAGAGATTTTACGTATGACTAGCTGGCGAACCCGGCTCCGCCCGGCCCTGTCATTATTATATTCGTAATCAGCATGCTCGATTACCCCCCTGTGCCAACTCCCAGCCCCGTAGCTCAAATTTTGCAAAAAATCGATAAAATCGATATCGATCGATAACGAAAAGTAGCCTATGACACGCTCCCTGCCCCGAAGTGTATGTGTGCCAAGTTTGGTCCAAATCGGTTCAGAAATAAAAATTTCTATTCCGCACATACGTACAGACAGACATACATACACACATTCAGCTTTATAGATAAGATTATCTCCACGATTCGTGTAGAGGTGTATTGCAGACTTTGCCTGATAACACAGGTAAACTTGTTAAACCTCCACGTCATAGCATTGTTCTTCGTACTCTCTCGCTATCAAAAACCGCCATGCTTTGAGTTGGGAAAACCCCGCCTTTACACGAATCGTGGAGTCGATGACACATTCGCGTTTAGGCACCCGCCATACTTACCCCTCTTGATCCGCTTGATCCGCTTAATCCGCTTGATCTGCTTGATCCGCTTGATCCGCTTGCTCCGCTTCTTGCAGGACGCGTGTAAAACGCGCGCACTCAGCAGTCTGTCATTTGGCGCCGCGTAGGTAAAAAGCAATCTCGTATGGTTGAGCAAATTCGCTGTACATGACGCCAAATGACAGACTGCTATGTGCGCGCGTTTTGCACGCGTCCTGCAAGAACGAGCAAGCGGATCAAGCGGATCAAGCGGATCAAGCGGATTAAGCGGATCAAGCGGATCAAGAGGGGTAAGTATGGCGGGTGCCTTAGGAGGACCGGCCCGCCGCCCGTCACCGTCGGCTCAGTACGCGTCGCGGCGAAGGCGACGCGTGCACTCGTATACTTGTTCCATTGAGCACATGAGAATTTTGCGCAACTGTAATAAGCTACCAAACGGAAAGTGTTTTTAAACGTTATTTCTGTGCGTAGATTTCGTTATGGCTCCGTTGGGTGGAATTGTTGGCCAAACAAGTCGATCACTTTGCCTCGTGTGCTTTTGTGTCACATGGTAGACGCCAAACAATTGCTTCTATCACAACTATGGGTCAAACGTAAAATATGAGCAGGCAGTAAGGAGAGACTCATGCAGTGAAGATAGGCATGAGTCTACGCAAACGAAAATTTTCCTCCATTTTTGATTGTCCGCTTCTTATTAGAGAGGATAGAACATGTATAAAAATATTGCAATCTGTTGCTGAGATCACGATCTTTTTTGCGCGGTCCGAATTAGACTCACTCTGCATACCAAGAAGACAAGGCCTTATGGTGGACAGGTTGGACAGATAGGATGTCAGCATGGTATGCAAATTTAGAGCAATGGCTCTGTCCACTCACATGCTTGTCCAGTCACGGGAAATATGGCCTAAGCGGGATTCCAAATTTGTCAATAAGTTCATCAGCTTCAGTGTCCGTGGCAGAGTTCTGGCAGTAGTACCAATCCAAAACTATTGGTTCACATGTCGTTAATGTGGTCTTGAGGCGATACCTTCCTATCAAACGAGAGTATCGCATTCACTAAGTCACAGTAATCTCACTAAATCCGCTACGAGAAATTTTCGCAACAGACATCGCAAAGGATGAACATCTACGATTTGTAGGCTTCACAATTCACGCTCATTGTCTGAAGATGACTAGTAAAGTGATGTGGAAATATATAGTCGCTGTGCTGTTTAGTCTGTTTTATCTGGTAGGATCACGTGTTGTGCAGCCTCTTGTCCCGCACTAGTCTTGAGTGGATGGTGGAGTTTTATATAGCAATGTGCAAGCAATCCGCATCCATGAAATTGACGCTATTCTAACATCCAGGCCTCAAATTTCAAAGCTGTAATTTTGCTGAAACGCAATAGATGGGCATTCTCCCACACATTATTTACGAAGATTTTCCGACAACTTACTTTTTTCTTGCATTGCGTATCGGGGTCAAAACCACAGATTCGGCTTTGATTGGTCTAAGAGGGTTACCTGGTATGCTAAACACAAACAGCATACTTATCTTTGCATAACGAGGCTTCTTCGTAGAGTTCTGGAAGGTGTACGGCATGAGGCCATGGATTTGCCGTGGACCTCGTCCTTTTTGGGCAGATGTGCCTATGCTAGGTGATTGCAAAATGATGAATAGTGGTGATGGGTACTAGCATACTAACTCTTTTTATATATTTGCAACGCCAGCGCAAAAACGCGCTTCAATAATCAGTTTCAGTGCGACGCGGACTGCGGCGCGTACTGAGCCGACGGTGACGGGCGGCGGGCCGGTCCTCGTGCCTTAGGTGCATATGTGGACGAGTTGTCCAGAGAGCAACACGCGCGGTGTCGAAAAATTGCGTACAAAGTGCAGTTGACGCCTTTTTTCTAATCAAGACTGTAATTGTTATATTGTTAACTTTCAAATAGGCGTTACATATACTTCCTTTTATTTTGAATAGAAATCGTTATTTATTTTCAAAAGGAACCTGCTAATCCACGCTTGTTCTTGACAGTGATTTCTACAGCGTCTGTTCTTTTCGGTCGGGCAGGAGGCAGCAAAGCCTTGCCGCTTCTGCCTTCGGAAAAACCTGAGAAGTTCAGACGTCCTCTTGCACTAATTACTTCTTCGCACCTCTAGCTACTTATTTTGATCTATACCCAATCGTTCGTAAACTCAGCATTATAGATTGCGAGATGGTATTATGTCTCCAATTTATACAAATAAAATAAGAAGATTTAAAAAAGACTCGGAGAGGTTAGCTTTACTCGGAATCAGAGGCGGCATAAAGAATCAGATTTTTGAGTTGCTTTGCGAGAGTACTAACATATAACACATATTTTTCTGTATCTTTCTCACCTCAATCATTCCTTTAGAAGACAATTATTTTGAAGACTTGTAGTACAGTTCTTTATTCAATCAAAAGAACTACCCTAAACTCTCGACATAAGGTAATTACCTTATGTCGAGAGTTTAGGGCCTTATGCCTTAAGGTGGAACATAAAAGCTGAGACTGGAGGAAAGCGATCTACAAATTGATCGAGTAAAATTTCAGAAGGTTTTCGTTTGATTCTCTCGCTTGTGAAGTAATCGAAGGTACGAAGAGTGGTTAGAGCAGCGAAGTTTGAAGCTCCTCAGGCACCACTTCCAGAAGCAAAGGCGGCTAGCCTAGCTTCAAACTTCTGCCTTCTGCCTAAATTCTCTGTTCATGATTGATACCATCGCTTTTTTCTACTAAATTTTGAAAACTTCTGTCATCGAATCCTCCAGGCAGGTATGCTTCGCACAGTTCAAGCCGTTCGATCAGTCTCCACGTCCTTGGTCAGCAAGCAAGATCTGGTGCAGCAAGCGTTCGTGAAAAAGATTCGAGAGTATGCTCAAAAAGGAGGAGATCTCACCTCAGATCCAGCGGTGAAAAAGGCTCTGAACGTAAGCACTTGAGATTCGCTCTTCGCCGTTTGATTATGTTTTTATCTCACTTATTTACGAATTCTATGCTAGTGTAGCTCATGCATATCTGACTGTGCGTTCACTAAGGCCCCGGACAGAGTTCACGCGATTTTATCGTCGCGCTTGATCACTGGCAACTGTAACAATATCACTGCATGCCGATCTTTCGGTGTTAGTTCTCCGACACGACTAATCGGACTAACTATCACAACCGAAATACAAGAAGTTCGGCAGGCATTGAACTCGTAACAATGAAACGATGAATCGCGACAATGAAATCGCGTGAACTCTGCCCGAGCCCAACGCTCACTGATCAGCGTGTTAGATAAACCCATGGGTCAATTTCAGGCAAATGATTTTGGCCCTTTACCGTATACCTCCCTTAAGCAACAGTGCGGCGTCTTCGTGCAAAAAATGTGAAATTTGTGATCAGCGTATCAGATAATCTTCTGATCAAAATTTGAGCGAAAGCCATGACTCCAAAAATTTGGGACTCTTGTAGCCGAAAAGCGTCCTATTTTGAATACTCAAAGACAAGACTCAACCCCATCTCTTAATTTTTTTGAGTCAGCTCTGAAAGCTTTCATTTGATTTTTACTTCATAGCATGTGAAAATTTTTCACAAACTTCCGTCACCACTTATTGCTCACTAGAGTCAAATTTGAAAAATCATACTCTTTCATCCAGCTTACTTGATCCGAATCTCTTTTTTGTTTTCAGGATGAGCTCAACCGGCTTGCGGCGAAATTCCAGCTTGCCAATGCTGACGTGGTAGGCAAGCTACCTACACAATTTGAGCCTCCAAAGGTTGTTTTTCTCTCACACAGCTTTTGTGTCTTTTTTCAAGAACATTTATCTAGGTCGATTCGTCGGTCCAACAACTACTTGATGGCCAATCACTCTCCAAAATGATAGAAGACGTGAGGAAAGAGAAGGAAGAATATATGGCAGCCAAGAAATCAAAGCAAGCTGCTGAAGAGGCAAGGCTTGCGGCTCTGAAGCAAATCAAGCAGTAGACTAGGATAGGTGTAGAATTTATGTGCGGATAAATCTCATGATTGTCGATGTATTTGATTCTGTATTTGTCTCTTGCGAGCGTACCTTGTATGATTATCACTTGTAAACTTACAGAAGTCAACCGTTTTTGAAGCACTTTTGCATGACTTTTTCAACACATGTGTCTGCAGTTACAGATGAAGTTGCAGAAGAAGCGCTGGTGAGAAGATGGGTGCGGGTCCTTTAGTCGTTGAACTTGTTGCAGTATTTGTGCTGACTGCGCTGCTTCTAAACAAGGTAGATTTGTACTGTATCCCGTTTTTGTTAGTTCAACACATGGATTTCATGATGTTTCATACATGGTAATGTGAAGGCTGCAACGCCACAGCATCTTTCTGAAGGGGATTGCGTAGGCTTGAGGCCCCGGCCAGACTTCGGTCAAAAGCGTACAAAAGCGCTCAGAAGCGCCCAAATTTCTCTAACCTCTTTTTTTCTCGTGTGAGGAGAGATGGAGAAAGTGAAGAGTGGTTAAAGAAAATTGGGCGCCTTTGGGAGCTTTTGAGCGAAGTCTGGCCGGGGCCTGAGAGGCATACCCTACGGGAGTGTGCTCATATGCGATTTTATTCCGCGATTACCGTTCGCGTTAGTAATAGTACTTATCAGTGTCTGCCCCCCCCCCCCCTCCCCCGCGGAGAGAAACCCTGCCGCCAATGGTACTTATATATTCCAGACATTTATATAGGGACGCGCCATACTTGATTTGCTTGATCCGCTCGATCCATTCAATTCACTTCGCTATTGGTCAAATCCATGAATTGAACGGTGATAAAGCGGATATTCACTTGCTATATCTGATTCATTTCATTCACAGCTATTGGTAAGTTCACTGACCTGACCAATAGCGATGTGGATAAGCGAGTCATGTGCCAATCGTAGAAAGATTGCTAGTTATTTCAAGCAACGAGATGATGCTGAGATGTACACGACATTCTTTTATCTTGTTTAGTATGCTGATTGGAGAAGGCATCATTTTGTTGTTATGCTGTCAACATTTGTTGGCTGGTATTTTTCTTTTATCATAATCTTCGTGCTTCCATTGGACGTTGCAATAGTGAGTGTTTTTTTAGTTGTAACATTGCTATCGCTGTACTAGAGACAACAGCTGAATTTCAGACATTCTATCACAAATGCGAAGTCGAGCAAGCGCGCCAAATGAACGATTCCTCGATTTCCGAACCCATACATTGTGAGCAACCCGGTGGTTATATAGCTGACTCGGTGCTGCTTTCACTCTGGAGGATTGTTTACTGGTCGGCGCAGGTACTCACTTGGTCAGTATCTTGCAACATATTCGTCGGATCGTCATGTTTCATTTTGAATAGATAATCTTTTATACTACAGGCTTGTGCTTCCGTTTATGCAGAGTTATGTGAATGCAGGCGATTTCACAACTTACGGAAAGATAAAAGCTGCTCTTTTCAACAATGCTGTCTATTATGGCATTTATATGCTTGCCTTCGCTGTGCTTTTAGTTTACGCTGTCATCAAAGGAGTCGTGATCAACTTGTAAGTTTCCATACTTTTTCCGATTTGCAACATCGATTTTTGCAAGTTTTCTGCTTTTTT